AACCAATCCCTTTATTTTATAGAGGAATATCAAAAGTAAGATACTTTTTAAATAGCATATTTATAATTATTTTGAAAAGTCAAGCCTGTGTATTCAGCTGCAAAAGAATCCAATGGGATTACTCATCAAATCAGTATTGTGTAACCATTATTGTTTTCCAAAGAATCACAAAAATAAATGACTTCTTAGTAAAGTGCTATTTTAAAAAATATCAGGCTACAGCCCCAATGTACCAGCAGCTTTAAAACTACTTTGTGCATTATTTAAGCATAAGTCTGATAGAGTAATTGACCCTGTACATTATAGGTAAGTTTCAGAAACTAAACTAATTTTTTAAAATTTGGAAGCCATCATATTGTTACATCAAATATGACTGAATTTTTTATACCTGATAATTATTACTAAATGCTAAAAAGTCTGCTTTAAATAAAATTTATGTTGGAAAAATAATCAGTATATAAATTAAAATGCACATTCCATTTTTAAGTGGATAGTTGTTATTTTGTTAGTCTGTTCACTTGTAGGCACTTAATACAATCTTGTTTTTTGTTGCAAAGAAGGGTGAGAATGAGAGCCAACTATTTACTGAAGAGTTACTCAAAAATCACATACTCTCTTATGTGAATAAAATCTGATTCATTTGGGTTCTGTGTGAACTTGGGCAAGTTTCCTGGCCTCTTTGAGCCTTGGATGTCTTTTATTAAGCTCTGGAATTTTGTTTTGTTGTGTGTGTATACTACCTATAAAATAGGAATAATAATGGCACCCATTTTATAGACTTGTTGTAAGGACCAGTCAATCTGTGTAAAATACTTTTAACAGTCTGGCATATAACAAGCAATGAGTGAATAATTGTTAGCTGTTCTTATTATGGTGATGCTATTATTGTTGTGATTAACCTAAAGAAAGGCTCCATGAGTCTGTGATGTCCTCACTTCCACCACAAAATCCCTAGTAACTTTTCACAAACCTTATATGTGAGTGATTAAACCATATGTCAGCAAGTTTACTTTGTGTTGACTTTGGCAAGGTCAGGGACCTAATGTTAGAAGACCATCTGTGTGGAAGAAATATAGCTTTTACTAATAACTGCTGGCATACCCTTGGATTTTGCAAAATATGACCAGGATACCCACAATTTGCCACGTTCAGCTAAAGTATAATTTGCGGTCAGCAAAAAGATTCTTTTTTTTAGAAGCTTCCTATTTAAGATCTCGTAGGATATGGAAGACCTCAGGGGTGACTTCATTGCATAGCAATAATAGACATTATGACTTGTTGTCTGATGAATTCTCTGACTTACAAAAGATGTATTATTTTATCATGGCACAAAATCTGCTGGATTGTTTTCTTTAAAGATATTAGCTAGAACTAGAATTAGAATATACAAAAGAGTATAGTGGGTCAAAAAGATATCTCCACTATTAGAATAAAATGAAGGGCTTGAAAAGAATGAACTACTAATAACAACTTGGATCTAGCTCAAATGCATTTTGATAAAGCAAGACTCAAAAGGCACATGCTGTGTGATTCCATTTACATGACACTCTGGAACAAGCCAGATCAACTATTACTAGGAGCTGGTGGTGGAAGAGGAGTGGGGTTGACTGCAGAGACCTAAGAAAAGTTTTGATAGAAATGTTCTGTATCTTGATTGTGGTGACATGATTGTAACCATTCATCAAAACTCCTAGAACTATTCACCAAAAGGGTGACTTTTACTAATTGTAAATTTCATCTCAGTAAATCTGGCTTAAAAAACCAAAACAAATGGCTGTAGTGTTGGTGCAGGTCAGTATTTCCTGTGAGTGTGTAGAACAGCATATCACTTTTTCTGAAATGTTGATGTAATTCTTATGTATTTACTTATTACACTTAATTACATCTTTGAAAGTCACATTTTTAGTTCATTAAGTATTTTACTTCTCTATAAATAGTGATTGTCTAAAAATTTCTTGAAAGTTTATCAGTTTCATGGAATATACTACATATGTTTCTTAGTATTTAAAGTTTTTTATATTAATCAGGATGCTACAAATAACACCAATATTACTCGACCTGGCTTAAACAATAAGGAAGTTTATTGGCTTCATCTCTGTGGTTATGGGATGGCTGCTTATAGCACTCAAGACTACATGTACCCTCATTTACGTGGAGCAGCAAAGAGAGATCTCTTTTTTCATGGTTCTTCCTTAAGAGTAGGGAGCCTCCTTTTCCAAAGCTGCCAGTGCATATTCCCTCGTGTCTCATTGGCCCCTGAACCTATCGCTGTATACTCCTGATTGTGACACCATTCAGGGCTACCCTTTTGATCTGTGGATAAGGTCAGTTTCCCCAAAGAAAGGGCTACATAGTAGTTAGGTAGACACACCTACCAAATCTGGATACCTTTAAGAGATAGCGGGGAAGGGATGCCAGGTAGGCAAGCAACAATGCTAGTACTTTACTCTGAGGTTAAGTTAAACCAAAACTTTGACTAATTATGAAATTTGACTACTACATAGTTGTTTCTTTTAAAATATTTATTTGGCTGCGCCGGGTCTTAGTTGTGGCACACGGGATCTTCGTTACTGCATGCGGGATCTTTTAGTTGCAGCATGTAGGCTCTTAATTGTGGCATGCGGGATCTAGTTCCCTAACCAGGGATCAAACCTGGGCCCTCTGCAATGAGATCGAGGAGTCTTAACCACTGGACCACCAGGGAAGTCCCGATTACTACATAGTTCTTATTTCAGTGTTTCTGAGACCACAAATTATTTAAAGGTATTATATTACTTTACCCTAAAGACTTCACATAAAAATACCTCAGTTCTGTAAGAAGCAACGTGGTAACTTACCACGTTAGAACCTATATTGCATATAAAGCATAAAATAGATGTCATATGTGTTTAACACAGTGAAGCATTTATACAACTTAATAGCATTTTATACATAGTTTAAAATGTAGCATTTACACAAATCAGACACTGGTTTAAAGTACACTTTGGTCTGCTTTGGTACTAAAGTTTTTACTAAACTCTTATTATATTTCGTAGTCTCCTATAATGAGAAAAGTATTTCAGTAAAGTAACTAGGTAGAAACAACTCTGGATGGTACGCAGAGTCTGGATTTTATCCTGTCAGTGAGAAGAGTTCTATTGAAGAATTTTGGGTTTTCCTATGGGAATTAACATTAGGTGAGCAGAGCAGAGTTTTTGTTTTGTTTTGTTTTTAAATTTTATTTATTTATTTATTTATTGGCTGCGTTGGGTCTTCGTTGCTGTGCGTAGACTTTCTCTAGTTGTGGCGAGCAGGGGCTACTCTTCCTTACGGAGCACAGGCTCTAGGCATGCTTGCTTCAGTAGTTGTGGCTTGGGGGCTCTAGAGCGCAGGCTCAGTAGTTGTGGTGCACAGGCTTAGTTGCTCCGCAGCACATGGGATCTTCCTGGACCAGGGATCGACCCTGTGTCCCCTGCATTGGCAGGTGGATTCTTAACCACTGCTGTGCCACCAGGGAAGTCCCCAGAGCAGAGTTTTAGAAAAATTCCTCATACGATAGTATTCAAGGTGGGTTAGAGCCAAAAAAAATAATGGAATCAGTTAATTGGGCAACTAACTATTGATTGGCCTGGGCTTGAGATAAGGTATGAGCAAAACAGGGTGGCAGTCATGAGAGCTTAAAAGATGGATGCTAAAGACAAAATGCCATGAATAGGAGTTGGTGGCTGACTGGATTTTGTGGTAGGGAACTAAGCTTAAAGTAATTTAAGTCAGCTAACTGGAAAGGGATGGAACCATTGCTAGGATGGTAAGGTTGGAGGGTGGTGGTAGAATGGAGATTTTACAGAAATGATGAGTTTGGTCTTAGATTGACAACATGTCAGAGTGGTAATAAATGTCCAGCAATAGTTAGTCATGTGAGACTGCTTCTCCTTCATTCATTCAGTGATATTTTATTGAGTGCCAGTGTTTTATTGAAGCACTGCGGTAGATACAAGAGATGGAGCAGTTAACAACGAAAAAATGTTCCTGTCCTCATGGCACTAGCAAGGTTATACAAAGATATTTAAGAGTTAAGTAAATATAAACTGAAGAAATATTAAAGTCTAGATTTAATTAAAAGTAATATAGATAGAGGGAGGTGGGTGCGAGCATAGGTGAAAGATTAACAATGAGTTGATGTTGGATCTTGGTGATGGACACATGGGGGTTTGTTTTACTATTTTCTTTACTTCTATATATGATTGAAATTTTCCATAATAAAAACAGTTTTTTTAAGGTAAAAAGTTCTGTGCATAGAGCTAATAATTAAACAAGATCTTTGAGAGAGTGATAAAAACATGTCCAAAGAGTAGCCTGAGAGAGGTAGGGGGAAAATGAGGAAAGTATAGTGTCTGGGAAGTAAAAAAGATAAAAGAAGTTTCAAAGAAAAGGTGGAAGATAGTGTTAATCGATACAGAGATCAAAGAAGTTACCATAGATTAAATCTAGTTGTTTTCTAATTTTGTTCATTTCTGGTTGGATGTTCCTTGATGACTGAAAGGAATTGGGTACCTGAGAAGCTTAGGAAAACTTTTGATGAAACCATTTTTTTAAATCAGTTTTTTAAAAGTTTTATTTATTTGCTTGATTTTGGCTGCATTGGGTCTTCATTGCTACAAGTGGGCTTTCTCTAGTTGCTGTGAGTGAGGGCTACTCTTCATTGCGGTGCCCGGGCTTCTCATTGTGGTGGCTTCTCTTGTTGCAGAGCACAGGCTCTAGGTGCACGGGCTTCAGTAGTTGTGGCTCGCGGGCTCTAGAGAGCAGGCTCAGTAGTTGTGGCACACGGGCTTAGTTGCTCTGCGGCATGTGAGATCTTCCCGGACCAGGGCTAGAACCCGTGTCCCCTGCACGGGCAGGCGGATTCTTAACCACTGCGCCACCAGGGAAGTCCTTGATGAAACCATTTGATAATATTTATTACCTGAGAAATACTGTATAAGCTTTATTTCCTGATATGTGAATATCTGTTCTGTTTTCAGGAGACTAATGAGCAAAAACTTCACAAAATTGCCAATGAACTTTTGCTTACAGAAAGAGCTTATGTCAGCCGACTTGACCTCTTAGATCAGGTAATATTTTCCCTTTCAGTATTTTATTTTTTGGCATTATACATCATTTTAACTTAGTAATTTAAGTGTTTTAGAAACTGCAAGAAGGACCTAGCCATTTTTGGCAAGTGAAAGCTACTTCCTCAAGGAGATCTCTAACATTTTCAGCTCTATCAGTGAATTCATTAGGTATAAAGTTTTCATAATTCATAAAAAACAGATTGAAGGACTCTCTGTAGGAGTCGCAAAATGCATTTATCTGTGTCTTTCAATCCTAAACACTACTCTGTTTCTTGCCCACTTATTGTGATCCTGAAGGCCGTGTTAGTAAATAGGAGATTCTGATGCTGGCATGAATACATCACTGAGTCTTGTCTCACTTGCTGTTGTAAATGATCTGAATTCCTGCAGTCATAGGGCCAGAAGGAATTTTGAGAGTTCGCTTGTTCGGCCTTGCATAAAACGTTCAAAACAGTGCCAGGTGTAAATATTTGTTGAATATGTGAAAAACATTTTGTACTTTCATCATGGTAGATGCTTGTGAATCATCTCAAATATACATTTGCAAAGAAAGTTTTAAAATGCATCATTAAGAATAACTGTTAAACACGATGGCCTCTTAATCCTGTTTCAGTGATAAAAGATCAAGATAATTGGTAGATTGTCTGCTGATACAGACTCCTCTTATTAAAAGATAAAGTTGCCAACTTTGAGTAAATTAGTTGCAAGAAGATGTCCCGCTACTGCAGTTGGAAAAATGGAACTTCGTGGGAGCAGGCCATCCTGGGCACACCTTTTTATCAGTTCCTAGAGCAGACTACATGCCTGTTAGGGTGAGCCTTAAGGGTCCGGATTAAGACTTGTGTTCTCTGAGATAATGTGTTTGTGACTCAAATACTCACTTTCCAAATAATTTCGCCATAAGTCAATCAATTCATGTTGGTTTGTGCCTTTGAAACAATGTTTCTCCTCATGGTGATTACAGACCTGAAACTTTTAGGTATTCCCATAGTAGAAATGTGTTTTTTCCACTTACCAAGGTGCACTTTTTTTTTTTCTTTCTTTTTTTTTCCATCCATATTATCTTGTCAGCTACTGTTGCTGACCTTTTAGAATTTAATCATAATTACTAAAATATCCTATTGGAGTCTCTAAGGACATAATTTGGTATTCTTTTTGCCTCTCAAGAAAATGCAATGGAGGTGAATTTAGAAAATAAACAACCATCTGGACATTATGAAAGAACAGACCTCCTTCTGCCTACATTTAACAGAATGGCAATTAAGAGGTATAGTAGCCCTACTAGAGTAGAGCTAAGACTGCAAAATTTTTTTTACTGTCTTTAAGATCCCTGTTATTATGTACAAGAGAAGATCTTTTTATCCTCATTTCTGAGTTTTAAGTTACCATGCATTATTATTTACTAAAGCAGGAAAACATGTGAGAACTGAAATACTCTTTTGTTCATGCATTGACCATGTATTTTTTAAGCACCTTTTCTACTGTGAGAAGTAAATCACAATGTTCTCCCTCCCCAAGGAGTGTACAGTTTTAATAGGGAAAATGAGATACATGCCAACAAATTATAATAAAGGACAATATGTAATATGTGCCATAGAAGTCACTCAAAATATAAAGAGGAGTGGAAAATACCACAGTTATTATGCATCTGTATAGTTTTCCATCTTTTAACTCTACCTATGGATAGGAAGGGTAAATCCTGTTACCCTCAACTGGAAATTCTCTGGAACAGAAAAGATTAACATCCCACAGATAGAGGCATAGCCTAGGTTAGAGTCAAAGCTTCCTAATTCTAATTCCTGGTTCTTCTTAAAGCATATACTCACTCCTACATTTCAAAAATGATTGATTTCTTGAATCACAAACTTTTCCATTTATTCAACAAAAAGTTACTAAGAGCCCACTATGTGCCTTAGCACAGTGCTAGATGGTTAACCAATAACTTTGAAGTAATGTTTGCATTAATTCTCTTATTCAGGTATTTTATTGCAAACTACTGGAAGAAGCAAATCGAGGCTCGTTTCCAGCAGAGATGGTGAATAAAATCTTTTCTAATATTTCATCAATAAATGCCTTCCATAGTAAATTCCTATTGCCAGAGCTGGAGAAAAGAATGCAAGAATGGTAAGAGGCATAGATAGCAAATAATATATCTAAGGCAGTCATACTAGAAGCTGTGTTATTCAGCTGTTAACTTGAAATAATAATGCTACACAGAGCTGTAAACAAACATTTACGCAAAGTGTTTATGTTAAAGATCACTGAAAGACCTTGTGGTACATTTTTGTCTTTAGTTGAAAAAGGTTTCATCTCTCCTTTCCAAGCTATAGTTTGATTAGTGGAGACAAGATATTAAGGATAATCTGGAGCTTCAAGATTTCCAAGAGTAAAGCATCTCTCTTTACTGTGTTATTCCTAAACTCCCTGTAAAAAGGGTCTTTTTCGCTTTCTCTCAATCTCACAGCAAAGTGGATCTGACAAAGCGCAGGGTACGTGTAGAAAGTGATTTCTTCATTTGGAGTCCTGTTAATTCACTCATTCTATAAGAAATCTTAACAACTTGTTTCTATGTTTTATACAGGGAAACTACCCCTAGAATTGGTGACATCCTTCAGAAATTGGCCCCATTCCTTAAGATGTATGGAGAATATGTGAAGGGATTTGATAACGCAATGGAATTGGTTAAAAACATGACAGAGCGTATTCCCCAGTTCAAATCAATAATTGAAGAAATTCAGGTAATAGGACTCTTGTTCAAGGCTATAATTACTTTTTCTGTACAAATCATAAGGTCTTCTAGATCTAAAATTTAGATTGAGAGATTTGAGACACCTGGCCAAATTCCATTCTGGTCTGAATTATGCAGAAATCATCTCTGCAAAGTTAAAATATTTATTGAGCACGTGCAATACACTGAACAGTGAATTCTCCATTTGCTTTTGAGGCAGGGAAAGTCTGGCTTTATCAGGGTCCACATTAATTTACAAAATAAGTTCCCATTCAGCTCTGTGTCTCTCTTGCTTGCTTTCAGAGGTTGAGATGTTGGAATGACTATAAATGAATATAAAGAATGATTGCTATAAACCCTGACATTTTAGAAACATAATTACAGTTGATCCTTGAACAACGTAAGGGTTATGGGTGCTGATCCCCTGTGTGTTTGAAAATCCCAGTATAACTTTACTGTCAGCCCTCCATATCTGTGGTTATGACTCATGGATTCAACCAACCATGGATTAGTACTGTAGTACGCGTTTACTGGAAAAAAAATGTGCATATAAGTTGACCTGTGCAGTTCAAACCCATGTTCAAGGATCAACTGTATTCTGTTTTATTTCATTTTGGGGTGTTTTTTTGGTCATTTTATATATGTGTCCTGACTTTTAAAATTTCATCAAACCTGGATAATACATTTTAATAATATCATAGTAATTTCTGTTTGATTCTCTAGTCAAAACTTTTAATCATTTCTTCTTTGCTGAAGTTTAAATATTGAAAAGGAATTCTTTAGATCACATAAGGTTATTTGGGTGGGAATTCTTTTTTTTTTTTTTAAGATGTTGGGGGTAGGAGTTTATTAATTTATTTTTGCTGTGTTGGGTCTTCGTTTCTGTGCGAGGGCTTTCTCTAGTTGTGGCAAGCAGGGGCCACTCTTCATCGCGGTGCGCGGGCCTCTCACTATCGTGGCCTCTCTTGTTGCGGAGCACAGGCTCCAGATGCGCAGGCTCAGTAGTTGTGGCTCACGGGCCTAGTTGCTCCGTGGCATGTAGGATCTTCCCGGACCAAGGCTTGAACCAGTGTCCCCTGCATTAGCAGGCAGATTCTCAACCACTGCGCCACCAGGGAAGCCCCTAGGTGGGGATTCTTTTGCTCCTTGACTTCTTTTGTGTTACATAAATATATATATATTTATTTTTTACAAATTTATTTATTCATTTTTGGCTGCATTGGGTCTTCTTTGCTGTGCGCAGGCTTTCTCTAGTTGCAGTGAGTGGGGGCAACTCTTCGTTGAGGTGCGTGGGCTTCTCATCGTGGTGACTTCTACTGTTGCAGAGCATGGACTCCAGGAGCACAGGCTTCAGTAGTTGTGGCTCGTGGGCTCTAGAGTGCCGGCTCAGCAGTTGTGGCACCAGGCCCAGCTGCTCCATGGCATGTGGGATCTTCCTGCACCAGGGCTCAAACCTGTGTCCCCTGCATTGGCAGGCAGACTCCCAACCACTGTGCCACCAGGGAAGCCCCTATGTTACATAAATATTTTTATATGTTTTTTAAACTCATTAATATAGTGATGTGATTACTGTTTTGTACAATTTTATGTCTTTTAAAGAAGTTAAGAGAATATTAAAAAATATCTATACGCAGATCAATGTGATGCTGACATCAACAAAAGAAAAGACAAAAACCACATGATCATCTCAATAGATGCAGAAAAAGCATTTGATAAAATGCAACATCCATTCATGATAAAAACTCTTACCAAAATGGGTATTGAAGGAACATATCTCAACATAATAAAAACTATTTATGAAATACCCACAGCCAGCATAACACTCAATGGTGAATAGCTTGAAAGCCTTCCCACTAAAATCTGGAGCAAGACAATGATGCCCATTCTCACCACTTCTATTCAACATAGTATTTGGAAGTCCTAGCCACAGCAATCAGGCAAGAAAAAAGAAATAAAAGGTATCCAAATTGGAAGAGAAGTGGTACAATTGTCATTATATGCAGATGACATGATAACTGTATATAGAAAACCCTTAAAGACTCCGCACAGAAACTACTAGAAACTGATAAATGAATTCAGCAACATAGCAGGATACAAGATTAACATACATAAATCTGTTGCATTTCTTTACACTAACAATGAAATATCAAGAAGGGAAAGTAAAAAAATAATTCCTTTTAAAATTGCAGCCAAAAAAAAAAAAATACTTAGGAATAAAATCTGACAAAGGAGGTAAAAGACTTATATTCTGAGAATTATAAAACATTGATAAAGGAAATTGAAGATGGTTCAAAGAAATGGAAAACTATCCCATGCTCTTGGATTGGAAGAATTAATATTGTTAAAACAGCCATACTACCAGAAGTAATCTACAGGTTTAATACAATCCCTATCAAAATACCCATGACATTTTTTACAGAGCTAAAACAAATAATCCTAAAATTTATATGGAACCATAAAAGACCCAGAATTGCCAAAGCAATCCTGAGGAAAAAGAACAAAGCTGGGGGCATAACCCTCCGAGACTTCAGACAATACTATAAAGCCACAATAATCAAAACACTGTGATATTGGTATAAAAACAGACATGTGGATCAGTGGAACAGAATAGAGAGCCCAGAAATAAACCCACACACCTATGGTCAGTTAATCTTCGACAAAGGAGACAAAAATATACAATGGAGAAAAAACAGTCTCTTCAGCAATTGGTGTTGGGAAACCTGAACAGCTGCATGTAAATCAATGAAGTTAGAACATACCCTCCCACCATACACAAAAATAAATTCAAAATGGCTTAAAGACTTAAATATAAGACATGACACCATAAAACTCCTAGAAGAGAATATAGCAAAACATTGTCTGACAGAAATTGTACCAATGTTTTCCTAGGTCAGTCTCCTGAGGCAATAAAAATAAAAGCAAAAATAAACAAATGGAACCTAGTCAAACTTATAAGCTTTTGCACAGCAAAGGAAACTGTAAGCAAAACGAAGAGACAGCCTATGGACTAGGAGAAAATATTTGCAAGTGGTACAACCAACAAGGGCTTAATTTCCAAAATATACAAATGGCTCATACAACTCATAACAAAAAAACAAACAACCCAGTCAAGAAATGGGCAGATGACCTAAATAGACATTTCTCCAAAGAAGACATACAGATGGCCAAAAGGCACATAAAAATATGATCAACATCACTAATTATTAGAGAAATGCACGTCAAAATTACAGTGAGGTATCATCTCACACCAGTCAGAATGGCCATCATTTAAAAGTCTACAAATAAATGCTGGAGAGGATGTGGAAAAAAGGGAACCCTCCAACACTGTTGGTGGGAATGTAAATTGGTGCAGCCACTATGGAGAATAGTATGGAGGTTCCTTTAAAAACTTAGAGTAACCATATGATCCAGCAATCCCACTCCTGGACATATATCCAGAGAAAACTCTAATTCGAAAAGATATATGCACCCCAATGTTCATAGCAGCACTATTTACAATAGCCAAGACACGGAAGCAACTTAAATCTCCATCGACAGTTGAATGGATAAAGAGGATGTAGTATATATACACAGCGGAATACTACTCAGCCATAAAAGTGAATGAAATAATGTCATTTGTAGCAACATGGATGGACCTAGAGATTATCATACTAAGTGAAGTAAGTCAGAAAGAGAAAGACAAATACCATATGACATCACTTATATGTGGAATCTAAAATATGACTCAAATGAACTTATTTATGAAACAGAAACAGACTCAAAGACATAGAAAACAAGCTTATGGTTACCAAAGAGGAAAGAGGGGTGCGGGAGGGATAAATTAGGAGTTTGGGATTAGCAGATACAAACTACTATATGTAAAATAGATAAGCAGCAAGGTCCTACTGTATAGCACCAGGAAATATATTCAATATCCTGTGATAAACCATAATAGAAAAGAATATGGACAGAGAATATATATGTGTAACTGAATCACTTTGCTGTACACCAGAAACTAACACAACATTGTAAATCAACTATTCTTCAATTTGAAAAAAGAAAAATGTCTACAAATATTTTTGGGGGGGTGGTTTGCTATGCGTGGGCCTCTCACTGTTGTGGCCTCCCCCGGACGCGCAGGCTCAGCGGCCATGGCTCACGGGCCCAGCCGCTCCGCAGCATGTGGGATCTTCCCAGACCAGGGCATGAACCCGTGTCCCCTGCATCGGCAGGCGGACTCTCAACAACTGCGCCACCAGGGAAGCCCTACAAATATGTTTTTAACCCATATATTTACCATTTCTGGAATAAGTTCCTTTCAGCATGAAAATGATGTGTTTCTTGTGAGGCAGAGTGAATAGCAATGAATTTTCTTGGGCTTTGTTTATTTGGAAAATATTTTTTTCTTCACTATTGAATGATAGCATTGCTAGACACAGAATTCTTGGCTGATAGCTTTTTTCTTTCAGCAATTTGAATGTCGTTTCACTGTTTTCTGTCCTCCCTTGTGTCAGATGAGAAGTTAGCCCTTAATTGTATTGACAGTCCCCTGTATGTAATGAATCACTTTTCTCTTGCTGCTTTCAAAGTTTTCTCTTTGTTTTTGGCTTTTAGCAGTTTGAAAATGATGTGGATCTTTTTTATATTTATTCTGCTTGGAGTAGATTGAGCTTCTTGGTTGTGTAGATTTTTTTAAATCAGTCTGAGAAGTTTTCAGCCATTGTTTCTTTGAATTTCATATTTTCATTACCCACGTTTCTTTTTTTAATTAATTAATTAATTTTTGGCTGCGCTGGGTCTTCGTTGCTGTGCACAGGCTTTCTCCAGTTGTGGCGAGCGGGGGCTACTCTTCGTTGAGGTGCGCCGGCTTCTCATTGTGGTGGCTTCTCTTGTTGCGGAGCATGGACTCTAGGCACGCAGGCTTCAGTGCGTGGGCTCAGCAGTTGTGGCACACGGGCTTAGTTGCTCCACGGCATGTGGGGTCTTCCCGGACCAGGGCTTGAACCCGTGTCCCCTGCATTGGCAGGCGGATTCTTAACCACTGCTCCACCAAGGAAGTCCCATTATGCGAGTTTCTGAGACCTGTTCAATTTTCTTCCTTTTTTCTCTTTGTTCTTTACACTATATAATTTCAATTAATATTCCTTCAAGTTCATTGATTCTTCTGCCATCTTGTTTCTTCTGTGAGTCTCTGGGGTGAATTTTTCATTTCAGTTATTGTACTTTTCAACTCCAGAATTTTCATTTGGTTCTTTTTTATACTGTCTGAATCCTCCTTGAAAATTGCTATGTATGCATGTATTGTTGTTATACTTTTCATGTTCTTCAAATATGATTACCTTTATTTCTTTGAACATACATATAATAGCTATGTTGAAATCTTTGCTATATCCAATATCTAAGTTCACTCAGAGACAATTTTATTTGACTGCCTTTTTTCTTCAGTGTAGGTTAATACTTCACTGTTTATTTGAATATCTCTTTTTGTTTTTGCTGAATGTTGGACATTATTATTTATTTGTTTGTTTATTTTTTAATTTTTGGCTGCGTTGAGTCTGTTGCTGTGCATGGGCTTTCTCTAGTTGTGGCGAGCAGGAGCTACTCTTCGTTGAGGTGCGTGGGCTTCTCATTGTGCTGCCTTCTCTTGTTGTAGAGCACGGGCTCTAGGCGCGCGGGCTTCAGTAGTTGTGGTGCATGGGCTTAGTTGCTCCACGGCATGTGGGATCTTCCCGGACCGGGGCTCATACCCGTGTCCCCTGCATTGGCAGGCGGATTCTTAACCACTGCGCCACCAGGGAAGCCCTGGACATTTAGATAACCTATTTTGTGGGAACTCTAGATTTGTATTTTCCCTACTGAGAGTGGCTGCGGTTACTTTTGTTTTTTTGTTTGTTTATTAACTTGCTTAGACTAAATCTGTGAACTTTATCTCTCCTCTGGTATGCAGCCACTAATGTCTCTATTCAGTTTTTTGTTGAATGTTCTTGTGTTTGTATGTGATCTTGGCTTTATAGGGGTTGCCCCTCTATCTGTGTAGGTTAAAGATCAAACAGTTGTTAAACACAGGTGCTTAACTACCTAGATCCAGTTAGCTTCTCTCCTCTGCTGATGGCCCTATAATTGTGTGTGGAGGGGCACGCGCTTATTTAAAGATCGGGCCATTTCCAAAGTCCTTGTGGCCCTTTCCCATCTCCTATCTGTATCTTCTGTCTGCATCTCCACAACCTCAGAGTGGCCAGGAGGTTGCTGGGTTGGGCTCTCTTCTGTCTCTGCTGGTTATTCACACAGCCTCAGCCAAGGAAATGATTGTCTGACCACAACACAGCTTCAGGCTATTAAAGTCATTGGTCTTCCCCACTTGCCCACCTCAGAGACCATCACTTCCACTGACAGTGTTGCTGGGCATATGGTTCACCGCTGTAAATCAAATGAGCCCTCTTCAACTTCAGCAGAGAAACTGCCAGTCCTCACAGCCTGCCCCACCCTTGCAGAATCTTCACATTGACTGAGCTGGGAGAGGAAGAGGGGCAGCCTCAGGCCAGAATACCACAACTTCTTGCTGTTCTTACCCAAAGTTCAGCAGTTTTTAAAAGAAACACTTTTCAGATTGTTATGTGCCTTTGGTCAATTTCCAAAGTGCTGAAATGATTGCTGTTGTTGTTAAAATCAATTTTATCCAGCTTTAAAGCTGCTTTTTATTTTTTTTTAATTTTTATTGGAATATAGTTGCTTTACAACATTGTGTTAGTTTCTGCTGTGCAGCAAAGTGAATCAGCTATAGGTATACATATATCCCCTCTTTTTTGGATTTCCTTCCCGTTTAGGTCACCAAAGAGCATTGAGTAGAGTTCCCAGTGCTATAGTAGGTTCTCATTATAAAGTCGCTTTTTTTTTTGCGGTACACGGGCCTCTCACTGTTGCGGCCTCTCCCGTTGCGGAGCACAGGCTCCGGACGCGCAGGCTCAGCGGCCATGGCTCCCGGGACCAGCCGCTCCGCGGCATGTGGGATCTTCCCGCACCGGGGCAGGAACCCGTGTCCTCTGCATCGGCAGGCGGACTCTCAACCACTGCGCCACCAGGGAAGCCCATAAAGTCACTTTTTAAAGGGAGGATTTTGCCAGTCTCCTCACTCAGCCATAGCCAAAAGTCCTGCTCTTCCCCTTCACTCCCTTTATTGAACATCTCTTTTCTCTCATGATTAAGCACTCATCTACCTTTCTGAACACTGGCTCCTTCTTTGGTTCTTTCACTAACCCCTTTTGTTAATATTGAAATGTGGGCAGAATACAAGGTTTTTACCCTTCATAGTCTTCTTTCTCTCCACACTCTCAATGTTGTCATAGTTTCCCAAGCCTTTAACCATCATGTCATACAGATGCTTATAGGGTCATTATTTCTAGTGTATTCCTCTACCCCTGAACTCCAGTTACAAAATGCTGAGTGCTGGCTACACAATTCTGTATGAACATCTTGTTGTCAATACAAAGTCAACATGTTCCATTCCTGTCTTTAGCTTACAATCATTTTTTCCACTTGACCTTTTGTGCCTTGCATAGAGTAGCTTGTGGTTATGTGATTGGATTTATCACATAGCACCAATATTCTTTTATTCACCAGAATTTGACCACTTGGCTTTATCTTTGATTTGTCACTTTTCCTCATTCTCTGTATGTGTTCATTTGCCTGTTAGATAATATTTTCAAGGGACTTAGCATGGAGCTTTTTGCATAGTAAGTGCTCACTACACGATGGTGGTCATTATCGTTGTTTCATCAAATTTTAAAACTATCTCAGCAACGTCTGTCTTCTCCATGTTATGAAGAAAGGATGGAGTTGTGAAAGGAATGGTAGATTGAGAATCAACTAATCTAGTTTAGGATTCTAGTCTGCCACTTAGAGCCACTTGACCTTAGAAAACTCCCCTAACTTTTCTGAGCTAGTTTCTTCATGTAAAAATTTGGGGATCAGTAATATTTTCCTGGAGATATGTGTATATATATATATATATATATACACACACACACACACATATATATGCATGTGTGTATATATATACCATAGGCTTGCTGGAGAAAATCAAATGCAATAAGTAAACTTATAATATTAATATCTTACACTTCATTAAGGAAAGCCATTAACCCTCAGCTTCCATGCTAATTTCAGGCTCCTTTTACTTTTCTCCTGGTCTACAATAACTTCCAAACTAGTTTCCCGACATCTGCCTAAAGCCACATTGCTGTAGGTTAATCTTAATAGCTGTCATATCTAATGATATCACTCCCCTGCATGAAAACCTGCATTAGATGAAGTAAATCTAAACCCAGCTTGACATTATTGCCCCAGATTACATTTTCTTCCTTATCCCCTATTTCCCTATAAATATCTTATTTCTGAGCAGAACTCAACTGCCCCCTTTCACTAAACATGCTTCATGCCCCACTGTCTTGGGCCTGTTCTCCAAGGTCCCTCTTCCTGCACTTACCCCCTGGTATTCCTCATTTCCCTGCCCAAAGCCTGACCTCACCTGAGTTTATGTGTAAATATTCCATTCTCTATGAAGCTTTTAGTTTCTTGTTTGCTTTGAATGCAGACATCATGTCTTAATACAACATTTTTTACCCTGGAGTGCCCTGATCGTGGTCATCAATAAATATAGTAAGAGGGTTTCTTCTTTGTTTAATATGAACAGGAACACACCTTATTTTTCCAGTAATCTTTTTTCTCTCCTTCCATGTTGACAGCTTACTGAAAGCATGTTCTATAGACTCAGTTTTGCCCTAAGCAAAGGAGATCTGTTTAGAGTTTGGTTTCTAATGGAAAAGAATGTCATGACCTAATGAAAAATTAAAATTTTCTCATCTTGTCACTTTTCTACATGTGGAGTCTTTTAAGTTAAAAGGAAATGACATTTATGGTAGCCTTATTATGAAATAGTTTCTGCTGAGTCCAGAGTCATTTAATGCAGTGTTACTTAGTGAACCTCATTAAATAGATACTTCTTTTGAAAATCTCTGGAGTATGATTTAATAATGTGACCTGACAAACCCTTGTAGTGACTAATTGAAGTGGATGCCATCAATCTGGAAATTTCTTGCTTAAATTCTGCTTGATTTTTCTTTCTGTTCTTAACATTAGATTGGTGGTCCTCAAACTTTAATGGAAGAATTGGAGGCGTTTTTATGCATATGCCCAGGCTGTGGCCTCAAAATTGTGGTTTCATAGATTGCGATGGGGTTCAGAATTTCCTTTTTTAATAGCATCCCAGGTATATCTAATGCAGGTGATGCACAGACCACACTTCGTAGTGAAATGCTGCCCTTAATGAAAATTCTATGTTACGTTGAACTTTTTTAGACTGGCTAACCTAATTTTTAAATCTTTTTTTAAAAACCTTTCTCATTACAGAAACAGAAGATCTGTGGGAGCTTGACTTTGCAGCATCACATGCTAGAACCTGTTCAGCGGATTCCCCGGTATGAGATGCTCCTTAAAGACTACCTAAGGAAATTGCCCCCTGGTTCTCCGGACTGGAATGATGCTAAAAGTAAATACTCCCCCCACCCCGGCCCCGCCCCTGCTTTCCATTTTGGAATAATTTAGTGGCCAAGTAGGCTTGTGATTTCAAAGTGAGATAGGTCTCATAGCCACTTTAGTAAAATATTGGTGCCAGAAAATAACCTCACTGGAAATTGTCATCAGTACCTCAATTAGGCAAGCACTTTTGAGCCCAAATCATAGGCTTGGAGCAATGCAAATCACATTTCTCATGCTGGTTTCACGTTAATCATTAACTCTGAAATATAAAATTGTAGTCTTAGAGACATCTGGAATAGCAATACACAATTACCTTCTCACAGGAAGAATACAACCATTCAGAATTACTAGTGCTGCTGGTTAATTAGGTAGGTTGATACATACCAAGAAAACTAAGATGATATTTACTATGTAAAAATAGCCTAAGCAAAATGATATCTCTCTACCTTTCTCTACTCTAAGACAGAAGAGGCAATGGTGCTGTTTAGTGTCAGTTAACATCTTCCCTGAGAAAACTTTATTCCTGCTCTACTCCTGTGCTACATTAGATCATAATGGAAGACTTTTTAGGGCTTAAGAGTTTCAATAAGAATTTTGTTTTCTTGTGTACTTTAAAAAAAAATCAGTTAACTGTGAAGAGAAGATTTAACTTAGATTAGTAATCAACATGTACAAACAATACTGGTGTACAATCTTAAAGCATTGCTACTTTCTCTAATAATTTTTTGTCTGCTGTTATAAGTGAACCTTGTTGAGAGATGAACACAAAACACAATGTTTGGTCTTAGAGACTGGGTCTTTTTCTGAACATAAGCTATCTGTGATGTTTCTCCCACCATCCAAGTGACTTGGTGACCACAGGAACTTCTCATCTCCCCTTTCTTCCTCTAAAGTTTAGAATTATCCTAACTTGTCTTCTTCCACTTTCCACTTGATCTCCACTTTCCACTCACCTGGCCTGAGTGCTTGGTTTTAGTAGTGGTAGGATTGGAGGTTGGATCACCATTGCTACTTCTCAAACTAGTCTCTTGGGTGGTGGCCCCAGCCCATCTTAATTTGTCTCCCTCTACCTTGGATCCTATGTGGAATGCAAAGAATTGTCAAAATCAGGATAGTTCTCTAAAATGTAAATAACAATTCTGCTTCTTCTATACTCAAAAGACTTTGACTCCTGCTAAGGTAGCTAGCTATGTCAAAAATCAGAGAGTCAGCAACGTAATAGGGTATTTTATTACTCTTTTTGGTTTCCCATTACTACTTACACTAAAATTGTAAGGAAATCACAGAAATACTTTTAGAGACCTAAAAGTAGAGGGGAAAGCAACAAAAGTGCATTTTGTTCAGCAGTAGAACGAAGAAGACAGAAAAGTTGGTTCAGAATAATGAGGTTGTTGTGGTAACAGAATTAACCCAACCAGTATTCATAAGATAGGAAAGAAAGGAAGAGAGCAGGACGTGTTGTAGGATTGAGAACATTCCCTCAGGTTAATCCAGCAGGAAGCCTTAGCTTCCACATCTCTTCACCAGTAGTCCCGAAGCTCCTACCTTGCCCATATCAGAGTTCCCATTCCCATCTCTCGCTACCACCTGCCCTAGCAACAAAACCCTCCATCAACATTGGCATCAGAAAATTCCCTTTCACCTAGACTAGAAATGTGAGTGTGTTTTCGCAGGGAAAAATGATTGTGCTTGGTGGTTAATTTGCTCATAAAACTAGTGAAATACTTACTACTGCTGAAATGTTGTAGAAATTTGAGTCAGAAGACTTTGGTTCTAATGTAGCCCTTCAGTATCATAATTTGTGACCTTAGCCAAGTCACATCACTCTCCACTTCTTTCATCTACCAAGTGAAGCTAATATACTTTCCATTCAAGGTTGCATAAGAATGAATTGACCTAATATATATGAAAGCCCCTGACAAAGTTCCTTGTAACAAGCTAGTGTCAGGGTGTTTGTTATTTTGAAGGTCCCTTATCGATTAAAGGTACCTGAGAGCCTACTCACTGTATATGACTTTTAATGAGGAGATACCCTTCAAGTTCCAAATAATCTGCTTACAAATGAACTTTTGAAAGTATGCAGCTTATAAATGCAAATTGCCCCCTGCTTTTATTGTGTATCTTCGGCCCCAGATTTCTTCTTATTGTACTGTATATTATTCAGCTATCTAGTAACGTAGTAAGGACAAAATGTATTTACTTTTCTTTTTTTCCATTTAGAATCACTTGAAATTATATCTACAGCAGCAAGTCATTCTAATAGTGCAATAAGAAAAATGGTAAGTGGTTTCCAGAGGAAATGGGAATATTCTAGTCAGATAATTGCCAATAATATAGTCTGATATTATCTACAGGTTTGGACCCAAATGAGTTGATACAAGTGAACAAAAAAGATTGTTTATAAAATGTTTAGTGTTATCCCTCTTCTCCCAGGTTTTAATTTGGTCATAACTGACATACTTTATACCAAAATTTATGCTTAGTTCCAATCCCTTCTGAATTATGTATATTTTAGCTAAGGTCATTGATTAAAGGAACTAAGGTGAAACCTCCTTTTATATGATCTTGCTGTGTTTTGTTTTAATTTCCTAGGAGAACCTAAAGAAACTCTTAGAGATTTATGAAATGTTGGGAGAAGAAGAAGACATTGTAAATCCTTCAAATGAACTAATAAAAGAAGGACAGATCCTCAAACTAGCTGCTCGGAACACATCGGCACAAGAACGCTACCTTTTCTTAGTGAGTTTTGTAGTATGAGCAAGTCACATAAGAATAACCCATAAACATTGTTATATGCATCTTGGAAAAGTAGGATGCTTGCTTGCTCTCACCAGAACAATTATATCTAACCTGGTTTAGTCAGTACTGTCAGGATTCCACATCAGGGAATGTCCTTAGTAACTGAAACTTGTTCTTTCAAGGACAAGTATTTTTCTATAATTTTTCTGTGTACTTACCATGTATAATTTACTTCAGTAACTCGTAGTGAAGATGATTTAATATTTCCATGATGATAGTAGCCATCAGTGTATATGTGGGGACCACTATTTTTAATTCTTCTAGTTGAAGAAATATATAGACAAAGTTGTAAAACTTGTGCCTCAAATATCTATGTAAAAGTACATGAGTTTGCTACATAGTTCCTTTTCACTGCAATCAATCTCCATCCCTTCCTTAACTTCTGGGAAATGACAGTTAGTCTAGAACTTATTGAAAATATAGGAGCTCTCCCTGGGGCATCCAGGCCATTATATTTTAGTCTCTGTTAATTCCAGTTCCTTTCTATATCTAATGATATGATAATAATCATAATAGCTAACAATGAGCTAACATTGAGTAATAGCTCAGTAAATGTTAGCTATTACTATGATTGTTATTATAGGCAAAGAAACAGACACATTGGTAAAGAGGCTGCCCGGTAACTGGCACATGACACATTCTCAGGATGTTATTCACATCTGACTTTTCTGCTGCAAGGCAGTCATCTCACTAGCCTTAGTATGAGTTGTTGGGGGCTTAGAGGTTTCTGTTGTCTGGTTACAGCTTCCTTTGAAAGGAAGGTTTACAGGAACTAAGTGGCATGCAGAAGGATATTCAGTATCTCTCTTGAAAGCGTTTCTACTTCAAGTTTGTATAACTCAAGAAAATTGAAAACATGTCCACACAAAATTTATACATGAATGTTCATAGCAAAAGTATTCATTATAGCCAAAAAGTGGAAACAAACTAAATGTCCATCAATTGATGAATGGATAAACAAAATGTGGTATAACCATGCACTGGAATATTATACGGCAGTAAAAAGGAATAAAATACTGATACATGCTACATGGATGAACTTTGAAAACATTGTGTAAAGTGAAAGAAGCCATTCACAAAAAACCACACTGTGTGATATGATTCCATTTATATGAAATGTCTAGAATAGGCAAATGCATAGAGGCAAGAAGTAAGTAGTGGTAGCCTAGGGCTGGTGGGGAGGAGGAAATGGATACAGGATTTCCATTTAGAGTCAGGAAATGTTCTAAAATTAGATAGTCGTGATGGCTGCACAATTTACAACTATATAAAAACCATGAATTATACATTTTAAAAGGGTATATGAATTATATCTCAATAACTTTAAAAATTTATAGATATTTTACAAATTAACTATAAAAAAATCTTCATTGGAGCTCAAAAGAAGAACTTCACCTTTCAGAAGCTTTACAGAGACCTAAATGTAAATCAGGGACATGTGATGTCATGTTAGGGTCCAGAGGGCTGTTTATTTTGAAATGTAGGTTTTGTTATTCAAATATGGTGAGGCCAACACATCAGGAGATGATTGCCATTGAAAAGATAGTTATACTCGCAGATTCCAAAAGGAGGGGGCATGCCACACCATGGAAGGAGCTACATGAGAAAGCACCAGAGTTGATCAGAAGGCAGAGAAAGCTAGCAGCAAATGTGGGCAAGAGCCTGTACTGTGGTTTCTGCGAGAAGGAATAGGCAAGGCAGAGAAAACCAGCTTAGAGTTTGCTAGTTTAAATAATTTCATCAGGCTCTAGCACACAGGGACTGTTGACTGGTACCTAGCCTTAGGGTTCTTACGGAAGGGGAATACTGGTTCGGAGTGTAAGCGCTCAATAGAGGAGGTGCTTGGGGTGTGAGTTCTGGATCTGTTGGTTTCCATATGGAAGTCATGCTTGCAGGTGAGTCACTCACTGTCTTCAAAGAATTGAGTAGTCGTGAGAGGGGGCAGTCCTCCAATGTCAGCAAGGCCCCAAGATGTCAAAGCATCAAAAATCCAGATTAAAAAGACATGCTTAATATACTGTTCTGGGCAAAATGCCTGGGAGTCAGTGTCTTCCCTTTGTCTTTACCTGTAGGTGCTTAGGTAATTTTCCTTTCCCCTCTTCAACATCAGTGTCACAGTTTCTGTAGTTAAACTTTCAGCTCTGTGTCTAACCAATGGCCTTGGTTTAATTTTCACATTTGAGAATTATTCTGGAAATAGTTTTGGATTGAATACCTTAATTCAGAGCCAAATTAAACAGCTATTTGGAGGACGGATGGCAAAGAGCCTTGGGGGAATACAACAGTAGTGACTTAGAGAAAAGTACCCATCTTGTTCCAGTTATTATAAGCTATCAAACATATCGTGTCATTGCCTTCCAGGAGAATGGAGTCATACAGCAGAAACTTTAGGAAAGCCTTATTCATCTTTTGAAGACCATCTTAGAAGCAGTTCTTGTAGTGTTCATTCCTTCAGTCCTTCCCCTCTAGTACTGTACTTGTCACAGAATCTCTCCTCTCCCCAGCACACATTTATTCCCATGGAGCATCTTTTTTTTCTTATATGTAGAAACTTCAGAAGTACCTTTTACTTTTTCTCCTTTCTCTCTAGAAGGAAAATAGTTTTCTATTTCCTATTCTGGGGATATTACACGTGTAAATCTGAAAAACCAAGTTATATTTAGAATTTGATTTCAGCTTTCAAATGATCATCATGTGTTTGTATATTTACTTGCCTCCCCATCATGCTTTTTATGTTATGTAGGGTACTCTGTTGAGTAAGTAAATAACCACACCTGACATCTGAAAGTTAAAAAAAAAAAATCACTGAATTATCCCATAGAGTGATAGGAGGTTTTATTCTTGCCTCTTTGGAGTTCTAGTCCTTATTTCCTTATACCTTTTGACAGAGTTATATATATATATTTTTCTCTTGACTTATTTAAACTTTGAATACAGGCCGGGCACTGGAAATTTTCTCCAACAATGTATTTTTACCTTCTAAAACAAACTTTAATGAACTGTCACTTGTGAGACATGAAATTGAATTATTTCAATCAAATAATATATTTTAAAGAGACTTAAAATAACTAGTCGAGGAACCCTGGAGATCAAGAAACAGGAACCTCCCTACACTTTTAATAAAGTTGAGACTTTCTTCTAGGTTTCGGCACAGCCTAGCACTTCTAGAGCTTGCCAGCCAGAGACTGCTTTGTCAATAACTACTTCTGAGCAGCGGGCATGGAATAAAAGGAGTTTCTTTCACTAAAAGGGGAAGTCAGTCTACTTGGTGCTACAGTTGTTATAACTCCCTCTTTTAGCACCAGCAAAACCCAGAGAAGGTGATGGTGGCTTTTGCCACAGGAGCCAGGTTCACCGAGGGAACAGGACTAGCTACTTAATTCCTTTACGTATATGGCATCTTCTTTGTAAGCATTATCACCTTCACCTCTAAGTAGAAGAAAAAGGGTATTTATTGGCTAGTCCTGTCCATTTTGGTGGCGCTTTGCAACTCCTGCAGTACCATTCAGACATGGCCAAATCCCCTCCTGAGAAGGCCTTATAGAAGAGAGAAAGAAATACTAACATGAACAGTTAGCAAGCTGTTGCCTTAATCAAGCTGGGATGATGATGAGAACCTTTAAGAGTATTTTCAGATCTTTAAATTCTGTGTACTACAATGAGGCTGTGATTGCCATACTTAGAATACAGTGGACAATTAATGATGAAGCATTATGTTCCCTTCTAGAAATGTAAATGTGAAATGTGGTGCTCAGATATGTATGATAAAAATGTATTGGGCTTCCCTGGTGGCACAGTGGTTGAGAGTCCGCCTGCCTATGCAGGGGATGTGGGTTCGTGCCCCGGTCCAGGAAGATCCCACATGCCACGGAGCGGTTAGGCCCGTGAGCCATGGCTGCTGAGCCTGCGCATCCGGAGCCTGTGCTCTGCAACGGGAGAGGCCACAACAGTGAGAGGCCCACATACCGCAAAAAAATATATATATATTTAGTGCCCTTTTATTTCTACATTATCCAGTGTGGAAATGAAATTTATGATGTTGGTTATAGGAAGTTGCAAAATAATGTATGAGGAACAAACTGTAAAAAATTTGCTTTCAGAATGAGTACAGTGGACATTGTCACATAAACATGTTGAAATGTTTTAAATATGCATCAACATTTCTTTCATGGTTGGAGCTAAAAAGAGGACCTGACAAAACAGGACATTATTCCTCATTTAATCCTCTCAACAACCTGTGACTTTTACAGATAATTATCCTGAGACATGAGAGGTTACATAAGTGTTTTAAGTTCCCAGTTGCTTTTGTCTTACAAAAATATATTTAAGCCTAGAAACAGTGTTAGAAACAATAAATATGAAGTAGAAAGATAAATATGGACCTTCTTTAGGAATCTGCCTACAAATTAACCCCCATATTTAGAGTTTCATCCTTTTGCATGTTTTAACATATTTAAAAGTTAATTAACTGCCTTCCCCAAATCATTGCTTGGTACTGATTAGCAGGAGCTGTTCATTGTTTTGTTTTGTTATAAATTTATTTATTTTTTTTTTATTTATTTTGGGCTGCGTTGGACCTTTGTTGCTGCGCACGGGCTTTCTCTAGTTGCGTTGAGCAGGGGCTGCTCTTCGTTGTGGTGTACGGGCTTCTCACTGCGGTAGCTTCTCTTGTTGCGAGCGTGGGCTCTAGCCATGCGGGCTAAACTAGAGAGGCTCTAGAGCTCAGGCTCAGTAGTTGTGGCGCACGTGCCCAGTTGCTCTGCGGCATGTGGGATCTTCCTGGACCAGGGCTTGAACCTGTGTCCCCTGCATTGGCAGGCGGATGCGTAACCACTGCACCACCAGGGAAGACCAGGAGCTGTTCATGGTTGACTAGAAATGAGGCACTAATTTGATTCAGTTTCAAAATAAGTTTCTTCATTTTAAATAAAGACTTTTTGCTAAAATAAATGACTTTTCTGTTAATTCGTACATGAAGAATTCTTAAGCAAGATGTGGGGCAGGGGCTTCCCTGGTGGTGCAGTGGTTGAGAGTCCGCCTGCCGATGCAGGGGACATTGGTTCGTGCCCCGGTCTGGGAAGATCCCACATGCCACGGAGCGGCTAGGCCTGTGAGCCATGGCCGCTGAGCCTGCGCATCCGGAGCCTGTGCTCTGCAACGGGAGAGGGCACAACAGTGAGAGGTCCGCATACTGCAAAAAATTTGCCCACTTTTTTAAACAACATTAAACACATTGGTAAAAATAATTGCTAAATATTAATCTTTTCCTCTAACAGCTGTTGTAGACTTGTTGCCTGACATAACAGTTAGAAATTTTTTTGTCTTCAACTTACATGGTTGAGAACTTCAGTTTCTTGTATATAGAGGTCCTTAATAAATTATTGCTGAGCTTAATTTCCTTAACTAATTTCCTTACTAATACAAAATGATGATTGGTTTACTTAAATATTAATAAAATATTTATGAACCAACACAGAGGGGAAATATATGTTACAAATTTTAAAATATGACAATTCTGATACAAGCATGAAAGCTCTCTGGTATTTAAGTAATTTTTCTCACATAGAAAGTATGGTATTCCCTGGAATTTTTGTCTAGGGCTACTTTCAATATTGGTCACTTTCCTCTGTCTTCGTTTTCCTTTTTTTTGACATGTGTTCTGCCTTCTTGCAGTTCAACAACATGTTGCTGTACTGCGTGCCAAGATTCAGCTTGGTGGGCTCTAAATTCACAGTTCGAACCAGGGTTGGCATTGATGGAATGAAAATTGTAGAGACTCACAATGAGGAATATCCACACACTTTCCAGGTATCTGGGAAAGAGAGAACACTGGAACTGCAAGCCAGGTAAGAGAACCATTCCTCTCTCACAACTTTACAAAAGAATCGGAATAAATCGTAGGACAAAATAATTCTGAGGATCTATTCCATGTCTGGTTGGACATAAATGTAAAGAGGTAAGCTCTTGAAAGTCAAGAATTATGTCTTCCCTTTTGGTTCCTCTGTAGTGCCTAGGATAGTGGTTTTTCAGACAGTAAGCATTCAGTAAATTAAAGTGACCAAATTGTTGCATTCAAGCCAAAGTTTTGAGTCTTCTAGGAAAAAGTTCTCTAACCTTTTTCCGCCATCCCTCCTTTTGGTCCACAAATGTTTATTGATGTTTATTATTTCATGATAAATGTTGAAGCTTTAACTATCTGTCCTTCAGAGACTCTGCATTTATAGGACCTAATGGCACTTTGATGGAGAGAATGATTTTGGAAATCAATCATTTGGGAGGCATTTTGGAAAAGATGATTCTCCTGCCACAGTTGAGGATACATGAAGGGGGCCATTTGGGGCTCTAGTAGCCTCTAGCAACCAGGACTTCTGGAAGGGGTGGCTCTTCTTATATGCTTATTGAGTGGGAGAGAAAGAGCTGGAGGCCTAGCATCCATCCCCCTAGCATAACCCTGTTTGGAAAGAAAAAAAACGAAACAAAACATGAGAACCACTGTAGTAGATCACAGCTACCTCATGCATGAACCTCTAGAAGACAGAGTGCTGTCAGGTTTTAAAATATCTGCTTTAGGAAACTGTCATCCATTTATCCTATAAAAAAAAAAAAACCTAGCATGGTGAAAATTGAGATCCACCAAAAGTTCACAGATCAGAGGTTAACTACTGATCCCAGCTCTGATGGTTTTCATACCCTAGAATCCATGGAGAATCAGAGAGCCCTTCTGTTCCTTTCTATTCCTTTGCACCAATAGCATGTGGTTCTGGCTGCTTAGGTGAACTCATCCTGGATATTTGTGTTTAGTAACTATGTACGAGCTTAAACTTCACATTTTCAAAAGAGAATAAATTATTTTAATAGGAATCTGTACCCAGGGAGCCAGGGAATTGGTGATTATAGATATGGAACATGTGGCAGGTTAGGAAAGTTTGAAGAAATACCTAGCCAGTTCTTTGATTTCCCACAGAAAATATATAATGAAGCTGTATTACTTAGGGAGCTGCCAGGAGGCTGCCCTGAGGATTAGGAGGCAGCATTTCAAGCATGAGTTCAAATGGTGGAGGACTTGGCTTGGATGTTATGGTTTTCCTACTTTATCATGGTGGGATTTGGACCCCAGCCATCAAACCCAAGAGAACAATTTATGTTACTGTACTTGGAAGCCCCTGACCTAAGTCCTCACTCAGTGGTTGACTCCCTGAATGATTGGCCCTGGCCACAGAGAAGACTCATCAATTGTTCTGATCATCATAGAAGTCTTCATTACAGATGAATGAAGGTTCTGCTGGCTCTGAATATCAGCATAGTTCCAAATCTGCAAACCCAAGAGATGTGTCTGAACAGCAGAAGAGAGATTATCAAGGATTCTTGGGTTGCCTGAGTTGAGACGGACTCCAGCCCCCCTCCATTAGCAGGTTGGGCTGTTTTTGCTTCAGGATGGGGCTGATTCATGAAAATTTTTCTTAAGTACAGGCAGTTATCATTTTGTAGAGTTCCAATATGCACTATTGGATACATTCCAATTAGTACTGAAAACACATTCATTTTTCCTTAAATTTCTTATTCCCCTAATCTCATTGCTTTAGTTGTATTTATGATTATATGATGAATTGAAGATCTGAATGAAGTGTGATTACTTATCTTCTGGTCTATAATGACTCTCTCAAGAATGTAGACAAACACTGAAATTCTCAGAAAGTCTGAAGGATTACATGGAACCCCAAATTGGGTATATATTTGGTGATATTTAAAGAGAATTCACTTCTGAAGCCAACACAGAAAAAAATGTTCTACTTTTCTTATTAAATAAGTCAGCCTGAAGACTGACCTCTCACACTCTGCCTCCCCTTCCATATTCAAAAGAATATAAACTTTTGAAACAAAATTATTTTATGTAGTTTTTATTCAATGGTTTTCTATTGCTAAATGGATATAAAAATATAGTGATGAGTAAATTAAACAAAGGAGTAAATTTAAAAATCTGCCATGATTGAGAAAGTAAAACAAAAGGCATTAAAGACTTGTCAAGTTGCTTTGCATTTAAAAGGCTAAAAGCAGCTAGCAAATAACTATGCTTCCAGAGCAATAGAGCTGATTTTGTGGGGGCGGGGCATAGCATTAGGGAGAAACCTTTTCTGAGGGGCAAGATTAAAGCCCCTGCCCCCACCAAGGTTCTTGGTTCAGGATCCCCAGGTGAAATATAAGCAGAATCTTACATTTGACATGCACGGATTCCAGCAGTATTCCTGGCACATCATGATACTCAGTTTTTGTGAGAAAGATGGATGGTGTCACATGGATGGTATGATCACAGACTTATACATATGTGATACCTGTGGGACTGTGGCATGTGACATTCAGGCTGGGACAGGGACTCAGACTTAGCCCATGCCTACCAAATACATGCAAACAAATAGAGCCCACTCTTCACAATCCCTCAGTTTGGAGATCTTACTGAGTACAAAGTCTGCTAAAAGGGAAATTTTTTCCCAACAGAAAATTATTAAATACTGGGGTTCATTAATCTGTGAAACCTCCTTCCTACAGGCATTTAAATCTTCGTTGTGTTTTATCTATAATGAATTAGGTATGGTATTGCCTGAAGCCTAGCAAAATAGAATTAAATTGTTTACCAAAGGAAATGTTACATAGCTCCCTAAGGCTTTACACAGGTAATTTATAGTCTCAAGGATAATTGCAATCTTTTCTAAGATGGGTTGTGACTAGCAGCCTTTCAAAGCCTCATGTGTTTTCATAAAGGTGAATTGGAAGACTAGGCCTATATCTAGTATAATGCTAGATCTACAGATACCTGATATATACAACTAGATGATGGTGGTTAAACTAATAGAAGCCAAACTTAACTCTCTCCATCAAAAGTTATGTGTACCAAAAAAAAAAAAAAAAAAAAAAGTTATGTGTACCAAAGTAAGTGGATGGTATAAAACTATGTTTATGAATTCATTTGTTCAATTGCCAGAGATTCTGTTTAATTTTTATTATAACTCCTTGGACATCCCTGAATTTTCCAGAAAGTTGGACTAACATAAATACAGTTGTATGCACCAGGTATAACTCATTAATGTTCTCTTTATTCACTTTAATTTTTCATTGTTGTTTGTTTTAGTTCTGAGCAAGACAAAGAAGAATGGATCAAGGTAAACCTGATTTCTATTTTCATTTTTGTTTTGTGGTAACCTCTGTATGTGTACCAGATGTGCACATATTGTTGTATTATGCACATATTGTAGTCATCAGAATAAGGTCATTTAATTTTTAAGGTGATTTCCATCCTAAATATTTGTTTAATAAAGTGTTTTTATTAATTTGCATGTGATACTTTAATATCTGCTTTGAATTTCATGTATATTTTAGGCACTTCAAGAGACTATTGATGCTTTCCATCAGAGGCATGAAACCTTCAGAAATGCAATTGCCAAGGATAATGACATTCACTCAGAGGTTTCTGTAAGTTGAATTAAATTCTTTAAGTTCTTTTCTCTTTGCAGTTGCAGAAGATCTATCTAGTTATTTTGTTACCCAGTCTTTTCCCTTTGCATTGCCAAAACTGGCTATTTGGACAGGATCTCATTTCTTCTTAGATGAATACAATAGAGTGCCTTTTCATGCTGCTTCAATGTCTTTGAACTTTTTTTTTTCTCTCTCTTTTTCTGGATCTTGAGTTTCAGAACATGGTATGAGCAATGTTGTTAAAATTCTTTTTAAAATAAATAAATGAATGAACGGATGGATGGATGGATGGAAATGACAGTTTTTGCCATTAAAATTGAATCTCTTTCCTTTTTAGACTGCTGAGCTAGGAAAAAGAGCCCCAAGATGGATCCGAGATAATGAAGTTACAATGTGTATGAAATGCAAGGAGCCTTTTAATGCCCTGACGAGGAGAAGGCATCATTGTCGAGCATGTGGACATGTATGTGAGCTTTCTTGGTCATTAAGGTTGTTAGTCACTATATAAGTGTTGTAAAATCATTAACTTGGAAAAACACAAAGAAATCATTCAATAAATCACTTAGTTGATAAACTTTTGTTGGTGATAACTTTATGCAAAGCACTGTGCTGGGTCCTGGAGAAAAACTGGTAAGCAAAATGGTAGCCAGCTTCACAGAGCTCACATTCTAATGGAGAAAACAGACCAGATTAACAGACAAGCATTTCAAATGACTATAAATGCAATAAGAAATCAAGAAGTTAAAATGGGGAATAACGGTAATGGAAGAGGATTTGGAACCAATTTTAGTTAGAAAAATGAAGACCTATCTGAGGCGTTTGATATTTAAGCTGATGCCTAAAAGGTGAGAAAGAGCTAACCATAAGAAAGAAGGCAGGGGCTTCCCTGGTGGTGCAGTGGTTGGGAGTCTGCCTGCCGATGCAGGGGACACGGGTTCGTGCCCCGGTCCGGGAGGATCCTGCATGCCGTGGATCGGCTGGGCCCGTGAGCCATGGCCACTGAGCCTGTGCGTCCGGAGCCTGTGCTCCGCGACGGGAGGGGCCACAACAGTGAGAGGCCCATGTACCGCAAAAAGAAAACAAAAAAGAAAGAAGGCAGGAAGAGCATTCAGGCAGTGAGAGTTGTATGTCAAAAGCCCTGAGGTAAGATAGAGCTTCATCTATTCTTTTTAATTTTTAAATTTTTCCTTCCTTCCTTCCTTCCTTCCTTCCTTCCTTCCTTCCTTCCTTCCTTCCTTCCTTCCTTCCTTCCTTCCTTCCTCCCTCCCTCCCTCCCTCCCTCCCTCCCTTCCTTCCTTCCTTCCTTCCTCTCCTTTCTTTCTTTCCTTTCCTTTTCTCCCTCCCTCCCTTCCTCCCTCCCTTCCTCCCTCCCTTCCTGCCTTCCTTCCTTTCTTTTTGCGGTACGCGGGCCTCTCTCTGTTGTGGCATCTCCCGTTGTGGAACACAGGCTCTGGATGCGCAGGCTCAGCGGCCATGGCTCATGAGCCCAGCCACTCCATGGCATATGGGATCTTCCTTGGACCTGGGCATGAACCCATGTCCCCTGCATCAACAGGCGGACTCTCAACCACTGTGCCACCTGGGAAGCCCAATTTTTTTATTTTTAAAAATAACTTTATTTATTTATTTTTGGCTGCATTGGGTCTTTGTTGCTGAACACAGGCTTTCTATTTATTTGCAGTGAGTGGGGGTTACTCTTCGTTGTGGTGCATGGGCTTCTCTCTGCAGTGGCTTCTCTTGTTGCAGCGCATGGGCTCTAGGCATGCGGGCTTCAGTAGTTGTGGAACGTGGGCTCAGTAGTTGTGGCCCACGGGCTCTAGAGCACAGGCTCAGTAGTTGTGGCACATGGGCTTAGTTGTTGTGCAGCATGTGGGATCTTGCGGGACTAGGGCTCAAACCCATATCCCCTGCATTGGCAGGCAGATTCTCCACCACTGTGCCACCAGGGAAGCCCTGATCTATTCTTGAGACTGCCAAAAGGTCATGTAGCTGGAGCATAATGAGCAATCTAAGAAATAGAAAGATAAATAATAACCAAAGGAGTCAATGACTTTGAGAAAATAGGAGATGGAACCTATAGCTTAAGTAGAAGTTCAGACTTTTGATGGGGAGAGGGAAACTTCCCTCCATTATAACGGAAAGGATAAAGGGAAAGATGAGTGGAAATGTGGGTGTGTTTTTGATTTGGTGGTGGGAAATGAGGGAATTTAGGTCTGATAATATCTATATATTCATTGAAGTATGAGGAAGAGTCATCATCTGAAAGTGAAGGGGGAAGTAAGAGGGAGGGGGGAGATTTGAGAAAGAGAGCTAAGTATGTACTAGTTGTCTCTGGGCAGGAAAAAATGAGCCTACCAAAGAAACAAAGATGCCTATTAGAGGTTTATGGTTATAAATTTAAAAGGACACACTAGTCCATTTAATGGAATGAAATATCTCTAACAAGATTCAGCAACTCAAGCCAGCTAAGGCAGTTGACAGGTTTTCAGGGATTGAATTGTTTCATATGGAAAGAGTGAGAAGGAAGAAAGCATGACCTGAAGTTGGAGAGAAGTAGCAGTAGGTTTTGGAGGGCCTTGTAAACCAAGTTGAAGATTAATACTTTCTTCTAAAAAGCAACACATAAGCATAGAGAAGGGTAGGCATTGTAGTGTCATGACTGAATGTATTATTAGTATGCTTTCGTGCAACAGTTTTTATTGATAGTACATTCAGATTATTCTCAATTACATTGCAGATTTATTCTTCCTTTTTACCTAAGTTTTGACTCAGTGAGACAGTTTTATAATCAAAATCAAATTGATAGCAAACATCTTTTTTTCCCCCCCTCAGTGTAAGACTTTTTTAAATCTCTCATTGAGTTTGCTTGAAATGATTTCAGATATTGACATACTTGCTTTCAGTAAACAAACAAAAATATGAAGGTACTGTGACATACTTTGAAAATAAATATTAGTTGATATGAATTTGCAGTTACAGACATGTCTAATTTTAAATCCTAGTGTAATTTCATTGGAAGTATGAGAAAACAATGAACAATTTTTTATTATGAATTTTACATGATGTGAATCTAAACCGAAAGTTTTACTAATATTTAATTTCTTAAATATAGTTTGTCCACTATAAATGAGGGAAAATATTCTTCTAGAAGCAAGAAGATAATTTTATTTATTTATGTGGCTGCATCAGGTCTTAGTTGCACCACGCGGGATCCTTGTTGTGGCATGTGTGATGTTTCATTGCAGGACGCAGGCTTCTCTCTAGTTGTGGCATGTGGGCTCCAGAGCATGCAGGTTCAGTAGTTGTGGTGCACGGGCTCTCTAGTTGTGGCACATGGGTTCTAGAGTGCGCAGGCTCAGTAATTGCAGCGCGCAGGCTTAGTTACCCCACAGCACGTGGGATCGTAGTTCCCCCACCAGAGATTGAACCCACGTCCCCTGCACTGGAAGGCAGATTCTTAACCACTGGACCACCAGGGAAGTCCCCAAGAAGATAATTTTTTAAACTGCAAGGTTATTTTTTAAACAGGTACTATAAATAGCAAAATACACAAGGACAATTTCTCATAGAGCTTACAGCCTAGTTAGGGTGACAAACATTAATCGAAAAATCACACAAGTATATGATTACAAATTGTGATCAGTGCATGCAAAAAGCACACGGAGGGCTTCCCTGGTGGCACAGTGGTTGAGAATCTGCCTGCTAATGCGGGGGACACGGGTTCGAGCCCTGGTCTGGGAGGATCCCACATGCCGCAGAGCAACTAGGCCCGTGAGCCACAACTACTGAGCCTGCGCGTCTGGAGCCTGTGCTCTGCAACAAGAGAGGCCGCAATAGTGAGAGGCCCACGCACCGCGATGAAGAGTGGCCCCTGCTTGCCACAACTAGAGAAAGCCCTCGCACAGAAACGAAGACCCAACACAGCAAAAATAAATAAATAAAAATTAATAAACTCCTACCCCCAACATCTTCTAAAAAAAAAAATAAAAGCACATGGAACTTTAATAGCACAGTGATAAGAGATGGGCTGTATTCTGGAAGTTGGAGGAGTCTTCCTTGAGGAAGTGAAATTTGAGTCAGTATCTGAAGGATGAGCAAGAGTTAACTCACTGAAGCAGAGATGAGAGAGGGAGGGAACAGAGCACTCTAGGAGCTGTAAGAAGCCAGTGTCACTGGAGATAGAGTAAGAGAGGTAAATCATGCAGGACTTTATAGGCCATGGTTAAGAATTTGTTCCTTATCCAAGAGCAAAGGGAAGACTTTAAAGAAATTTAAATAGAAGAGAAATATATCAGATTAGCATTTTTAAGGAAGCATCTGATGCCATTTGGAAAATAGCTTGGAGGGGATCTTAGAGTAGTGGCCTGGACTCCAGTAGGAATGCTACAAGGACCAGTCGTGAGGCTATAATGGTCCAGACCAGGACATTGATAGCTTGGACTCAGGTAATTGTAAGGAAGATGTAGAAAAATGGACAGATTGAAAAAATATCTAGGAGATAAAATCAGCAGGACTTTATAACATGGTGAATCTATGGGGTGAGGTAGAGAGAGGTATTGGGATGACTCCTAGGTTTCTGACTTGCCATAACTGGTTAGGAGGCTGTGCTATTTCCAGCGATAGAGAGTACTCTGAGAGGGGAACAGGTTGGGAGGGACGAAGTGTGATAAGGAGAAAGCTGGGAGCAAGGTAGACCATGAATTCACTTGGGGAAGATATAAAACGTCCAGAGGTATGAAGTGTAATGGTCTGGACCAAGCCTTTGAAGAGCTCCTACCTTTAGGGCCAGGAAGAGAAGGATGAGCAAGCAGAGCCCATCACAAACAGCATTATAATACATGACAAATACTCCAAATGTTCATGGGGATATTGTTAGTCTGATAAAAATTTGCCCTTTACATTTAACTTTTTCTCATTTATTATTACCTATAACTGATTATTGCTTAAATCTTGTTATTTTTAAAATATGATTATTCACTCTTCTTTATTTTTTCTTAATTTAAGGTGGTTTGTTGGAAGTGTTCTGATTATAAAGCTCAACTTGAGTATGATGGTGGTAAATTGAGCAAAGTTTGTAAAGACTGTTATCAGATAATAAGTGGATTCACAGACAGTGAAGAAAAGAAAAGAAAAGGAATTTTAGAGGTATGAAATATTAAATATTGGATATCTTTCAGATTTTTATACTAGAAACAGAATTTTTTTAACTCTGAAGAATACAAATAATATATTTTGTTATTTCTCTTAGTATTTAATAATTTGGACTATGATGAGCAAGATTTATATTTTTGTTCTATTGCTGACTCTTGCGGTCATGCTCAGTTGTACAGAAAGATGAGGGACAGTGCTATGTTAACCAATGTGCATTTGAGAGTAAATCCAGTCCTTCCTTGGCATCTGCGGGGGATTGGTTCCTACAGGGGTTCCAGGACCCCTACAGATACCAAAATCCGCGGATGCTCAAGTCTCTTATATACAGTGGCGTGATACAGCCAGCTCTCCATATCCTTAGGTTCTACATCCACAGATATGGAGGGCTGATTGTGTATTGATTTTGTGAAGGTAGCTGTAGTCAAATATTAGAGTATTAATTGACATCTCTTCTAATGCCCAACTTACTACTATATATTTTTTTTTAAGAGGAAAGCTTTTCTCTCAGTTTCATCATATTGGCTTTGAAAATACTGTATGATGTTATTAAAATTTAGATTAAAGTCTTATTACCTGAAAAACTCTTCCAACTTATTGCATTAAAAGAATCATTTAATGGCCAGTGACAGTAATCTGAGAACTACGTTGAAATATTACTGAAATGTCTCACAAGTAAGTTTGATTCATGTTTTAGATAAATTCAGACCTCCCAAACCTAGGAACTGTAATGCGACTAGTATCTGAAATAAGTTTTACACCCAAAGATATTAACAACATAAGTAATAAACTACACAATAAGGGCTTTTTGACAGAAAGTTCAAGATAGCCTGGAATTATGTGAAGAATAAACTCATGATCAAAACTCTTATGTATCAAAAAAAAACTCTTATGTATCTAAAATCATAGACATACTTGGTTTATTAAGAATTTCTACAATTTATTTAAGAATCAATGAGTGTTTATTGAACCCTACACTGTATAAACATACAAAAAGTCATTTCTGTTAACTGAAGAAGGATCATAAACTTCAAGGTCCACTTGAGGTTAAAGTACAGGCCCACAAACTATAACTGTGCATTCTTCTAGGATATAGATGTTGCTTGTATGGCAGACCAGAGTGGACTTTCTCTGGCAGGGAAGGTGGAAAGACATGCTTCAGTAGCTTCCAGAAACACAGTCTCGAAAGACTGAACAGCAGCAATGGATGAGACTGGCGTAGAATAATGAGTCAAATAACTTGTTTTAAGAAGTGCATTTCAGGCTGTATCTATGAAATAAAAATCTCTAGGTAGTTTTCTAGAAAAACCTGTACTTAGAGGAAAATTAATCAATTACTTTTTAGGTTAACACATTTAATCAAATGTATTTATAGTGTGAAGTCCGTAAGTAGAAGATAAGTGTGGATGTGTGCATATGCACACACACATACATATATATTTGAAACTTACTCATAACAACTAGTTTGTTATGTCCTCTAGACCAAGGATCAACAAATTTTTTCTGTAAAAGGGCAGAGAGAAACTATTTTAGTCTTTGCAAGCTGAAAGGCAAAACTGAGAATATTACTTCTAAAACAAGAGAGAAAACAAATTTTCTCAAATTTTTATTGACAAATTTAAAAGTAATAATTTAGTATAATTTTTGTAATATGGTAATAAGAAGTATGGAATTCCTTTGGGGGAGGGGAGATAACATTTCACTTAGTTGGAGTCCAAAGTTTTCGTATTCTAGATCATCAGATTGATTTTAAATGGTCATCTGTAAAAACTCTGCTTACCTCACAGGCCATATAAAAACAGGTGGTGGGCTAGCAGTCCATTGTTTGCCAGTCAATGCTTCTTAAACTATCTGTGATGAAGGGCCAGTTTTACTTTCTAAACCATCACAGCTCAGTATTTTTGTAAAATACACAATTATGTGCTTGGGTATCATCACAAGTCAGATTGCTATAAAAGTTTCTAAATGCTTACTCTTGCTTTCTGTGCTTATCTCGAACTGGTAGCAAAGCAGTTTGCAAACCAGCACTGTTCAGTGGATGACACTGGATTTGAGAGATAGAAAATAGATGCAAACCAGTTGCTTTCCATGATATGTGTAATAGAAACCATCATTTAGTCAAAGGGTTTTGTTCCCTTTTTAGCCAGTGATTTACGTATTTGGAGACAAAGCAGAAAACCGTACATGGCTCCACAAAGAGTTATTGCAATTTAAAAAACTTTAAAATTATCTCAGGTATAGAACAAAGGTTGCTGGTAAGTATTTGCCTTTTTGCTATTGCATTCTTACATAGTGACGTTGCTATAGCATTGTGGCTAAGAGTTCAGACTCTGGGTCCAGACTCAAATCTGAGCACACCAATTCCTAAATCTTAGGAAAGCTATTTCATCTCTAAACCTCATAATAATGCAAGTAATAACGTTTTGGTGTTGGTGTGAGGATTAAATGATATAAGTAGTGAGCTAAGAAAAATGCCTTCATAGTAAGCAGTCAATAAATGTTTAATTTTATTTAAATTACAGGTCTGGTAATACAGTTAAAATTGACTTAATTCATCATGGATCTAGATGAATGTTTAAATAATAATTGCAGATGAACCTTCTCTAGACAATCCCAGGAGACATTTTATATAAACACATTGTAATTTATGAATGTTACCTTAAGTTGAATTACCTCTCTGTCTGGTTCATTTTGTGTTCATTCACTCTCTCTCACTGTTTCTTTCCATCGTATTTTCTAGATCGAATCTGCAGAAGTATCTGGAAACAGTGTGGTGTGCAGTTTTCTTCAATATATGGAAAAGTCAAAACCTTGGCAGAAAGCTTGGTGTGTGATCCCCAAACAAGACCCTCTTGTGCTGTACATGTATGGTGCCCCCCAGGTATCTAAACTTCATCTTTCTGAAGGGACGGAGGGAGGCCAGTAGACACTGAACTTAAAATCCTTCCATTACTTCTCTATAGAACAAGAGAATTCACACAGTTTCACTATTTTTCATTATAATTGAAAAATAATAAATAACTAAAATTCAAGTTTATTTAGACTGATTCCTTCTATAGCCAATAATTTCTTCAGCCTGTGAATCATTTGCCCCCTTCTCTCATTCCTATTTAGTGGGTTTGAGAAAATGTGAGTTGAATTAGGAAAGGGCATGGGGAGAAGAGGTTGAATCAGAGGGAGAGGCAAGAAGAAGGAGCATTTTTGATGATGGGAAATATTAGTAAGCCTTTTTTTTTTTTCCTGCATGGAGGGATACTTGAAAAAGAAAGGAATGTGAGAAGGTGAATTTAAATCAACCTTGGATTAACATTATCCAATAACAATTTTTTAAGACCTTATGTGAATGGATCTGAGATAAATATATGGGAACGGCAGACATGCACCAGGCACTATGGATTGTGTTGTGCTTAAAAAACCAACAACACTTAAATCAATTGTGCACTCACCTGGAAACATATAAAAATTTTCATGTACCTCTTGTGTTTTAGCCTATATCTACATTAAGTGCTAGTAAAACTTTATTTTAGAAATAGACTAAAAATGCTGAGATATGTGTGTGTGTGTGTGTGTGTATGTATTTTTAATTGAAATATAGTTGATTTACAATATTGGGTAAGTTTCAGGTATACAGCACAGCTATTCAGATATATATATATATATTTCTTTTTTAGATTCTTTGCCCTTATAGGTTATTACATAATATCGAGTATAGTTCCCTGTGTTATACAGATCCTTGTTGGTTATCTATTTTATACATAGTAGTGTATATATGTTGATCCCAGCCTCCTAATTTATCCCTCCTCCCACCCCCTTTTCCCCTTTGGTAACCAAAGTTTGTTTTCTGTGTCTGTGAGTCTCTTTCTGTTTTGGAAATAAGTACATCTGTTGTCTTTTTTTTTTTCTTTTAGATTCCATATATATCATAAGCGATATCATATGATATATGTCTTTTTTTAAATTTATTTATTTTATGATATATGTCTTTATATGGCTTACTTCACTTAGTATGATAATCTCTAGGTCCATCCATGTTGCTGCAAATGGCATTATTCCGTTCTTTTTTATGACTAATGTTCAATTGTATGTATATATACCACATCTTCTTTATCCATTCATCTGTTGATGGACATTTAGGTTGCTTCCATGTCTTGGCTACTGTAAATAGTGCTGCAGTGAACATTGAGGTGCATGTATCTTTTTGAATTGTGGTTTTCTCTGGATACATGCCCAGGAGTGGGCTTGCTGGATCATATGGTAGCTCTATTTTTAGAGCTGTTCTCCATACTGTTTTCCATAGTGGCTGCACCAATTTACATTCCTACCAACAGTGTAGGTGGGTTCCTATTTCTCCATACTCTTTCCAGCATTTATTATTTGTAGACTTTTTGATGATGGCCATTCTGACCAGTGTGAGGTGATACCTCATTGTAATTTTGATTTGCATTTCTTTAATAATTAGCGATGTTGAGCATCTTTTCATGTGCCTTTTGGCCATCTGTATGTCTTCTTGAAGAAATGTCTGTTTAGGTCTTCTGCCCATTTTTTGATTGGGTTGTTTGGTTTTTTATTCTGTTTCATTGTTTTTCCTACATTCTTTTCCTGTCCATAAGTAAATTGATGCATGAATGAATGAAACACCAAATAGAACTGCATTTGATAATGAAATCATCATTAACATTTGCTGGTTTTGTACAGTAAGATGACTATTCTTCCCTTTTACACTGAATGAAGAACTGAATGGGCTCCCTCACAGGGAAAGAGGTGTGGGGTCAATGAACTCTAGCTGATTTAGGTGTCAGCACTCATTCATCAATTCACTCAGGTGACGTTACGGGTGGCCTCATACACAAGCACTGTGCTAAAAGCACTGGATCCCCATCTCTCTCCATGGAGAGTTCACAGTGCGAGTCTGTGGAATGGTTGTAAGAAAGGGGGTTTAGTGGGCGCCGGATCACATCTCACCATGTTTTTTCTTTATGTACCATGCTTTTTTCTTAGGATGTCAGAGCCCAGGCCACTATTCCACTCCTGGGCTACATTGTGGATGATATGCTGAGGAGTGCAGACCTGCCACACAGTTTCAAACTGACCCAGTCCAAGTCTGTGCACAGCTTTGCTGCAGACAGTGAAGAACTGAAACAGAAGTGGCTGAAAATCATCCTTTTAGCTGTCACAGGTGAGACACCAGATGGCCCTAGTAAGCATCCAGCCACTTTGGACGATCATCCTGAACCTAAGAGAAAATCAGAATGCTGAGTTCCAGGGCCTACTGCAGTATGGAGGGGGGTCTCAAGATTTACAGCTCAAAACATTCTCAGCTCTCCTTTTTCATCTCTTAGCACTTTACGTTGAAAAATACAGGCTCATAAATGCATCTTTGGGGGGACTATTTTCCTATGTTTATGTACTCTTACTGAAATTAATGTGTAGAGCCATTCTACCCATAAAGTTTGAAATAATGTGAAAAATAGAGCATTTTTTAATGAGCTATTCCTTGAATATGTACTTTTGTCTTGGAAAAAACTGGTATCAATTCTATCACTTCAGGTTAGAAAAGGCCACTTACATTTAAGAAATCCTTTAATGTCTTCACTTACACATGTAGGATTTATAACAGTTTGAAAGATATACCTCCATGTTGCCAAAATAGATCCACGTTAAAAATAAAAAATACAGGGACAGTTTAGGCTATTAACTTATTTAATTTAGTTTATAAAGCTCAAGCTGCATAAATGATGTACATTCTTTTAAAACAAAAGAAAAAGAACAAATTGTTGGTATTCAAACTTTCAACTTATTAAGATACTTGTTTTGTAGAAATACTTCTAAGAATAAAATATCTTAAGTATATAGCAATTATGTATATATAGTATTAAATACAAATATATATATATATATATATATATATACACACATTATACATGCTTTTCTCTTCAACTTTAGGTTCATATTTGTCTCTAATTTATTTTTTAAATACACAGCATGTTTTATCTTGGAATTGACCAGTGTTCTAAACTTAAGAAATGTTTTTGGTGATTTATGTTTAACTGATTGACATCTAAGGGTCTTGATATTTTTATAATAAAAAGCTGTAATTTATGTGGCATGGGATATATTAGTGAATTCCAACAGTATTTTTAAAGTACTATTTTTCTTTGTTCTGTGCCTATTTAAAACAGTGCCTCTCTTTGAAGGTGCTAATAATACCTACTTAAATATAAGATGAGGGTTTAATTAATGCTTCAGTCTTGATTATTCTGAGATAAGTGCATTTTGGTCACTGGGATGGTCAAGTCATACAGGTTATTTTACCTTTTACAATCCTCTAATTGTTGCAGCAGTTAATATCAGCATGTACAAGATACCTGACCTTACACAGAACTGGGACATATGGAAACTACATTTATTGTTATGTTTTTCTTTCCCATAAGACTGTTAATTGTGGTTAAATGAGGACTATATATAATTAACACTTAAGATAACTGTGTGGGCCTATTCGTTTGTCAGATATGAAACAAAATTCACATGGGATAACCTATGATTGAGGGGGATGGATAGGTAATTAAGAAAGTTTATCCTCAACTCTTTAAACCACCTCATTAAAGAAGAGTGGGGAAAAATACAATATAAAAAAGCAATATTTTAATGGCAGGTTTTTCTGGGGGGTACAAGATGATTGACGACAGTTTGAGCATTCTTTTCCCTTTTATCCTCTGGGGAATTTTAATAGACAAAATGTGATTCCTTGTCACAAAGGCTGCTTTTTATTATATTGTAATTGTGATTAAAATCTCACATTAAGTTGGCTATTTAAGTTCATCCTTTCCTCAAAATTAGATCTCTCTCTCTTTTTTTGTTTTTCTCATTTACTCTGTCATTTTCCAAATATTGTCACTTTTTAATGCATCTGTCTGCTAGAAATCAACAAGAATGGCCCCACTATCCTCGGCCTTTGAGGATTACACCTTAAATGTAGATTAGCTTCACTCAGAATTTGAGATTGCCACACATCTATTCAGGCCCTGTTTTTTTTTTAAGATATATTTGAAGTATCTCTTTTCTTCCCCCCACACCCCTAAGGAGCAGATAAACTAATTATAGTGGGCATGATTAGGTTGCCTTCCTCTGTAAAAGGAACACCAGCCATGATCCATCAACATTAAACCAAATACTTAGAGCCAAAAAAAGATAAAGGTAGCTTCTTAGGCCCTATTAAATTAAGGACAAATTTTTAATTTTTTACATTGATTCTCTTTTCTAGTTGCCAACCGTGTGTGTGTTTGTGTTCAGGGGTGGTTATTGAGGTTGAACTACGGCTCTAGGTGATGCTTTGGTTTTCTTAATCTCAAGAAAAGAGAAGCAATAAAAATGTAGAATGATTAACAGGAGAAGGTGACTTCTGTAAATGTGGATAGAAAAATGGAAATGTAAAAGCCAATTAGAAGATTTACGAGCCAGATTGTTTTTGAAAACTATTTTGAACAACAAGAAGATTACACTTTCCCTACAAATAAGTTCTGCTGGAATGGAAGTAACATGAACACATTCAAGCTTTGGCTCAATAAATATCAAATGTTATTTAATTTAGATTATTTAAAGAATACTCATGTTAAGAGAATATTTATTATCATGCTCTTAACATTATCTTTAATTTGTTTTAAAAAATAGAAATATTAGTATTAGAAGAGAATTTCTGCTTGTCCAGTCACCATCTTCACATTCCACATGTTCTTTTGCCAAGCACAAAGAGAAGCAATGAAGCAGCCTTACCTGTTTCTTATTAAAGAATCACGAATGCTTTTACTTGGAGAAAGGCAAAGGAATACTCTTAGCCATTTAGAAGCACTCAACCAAAAGACCTCAAAATGTGATTGTCTGGTTACAAGAATAATCTGTCTTTTGCTTTCTGAGACACCTGAGCAGTCATGACAAATTGAACCTAGAAAAATAATTGGTTGTTTTACTATTAAAACCAACATTCCATTCTGGTCTTATTCTTTATTTTCTCTAAATCATCTTTTTTTTAAAGTGCCCTTTCTCTAAACTTAACAAAATACTTCTTTGATAAAACTGCTATTTTTTTATAAAACATTCCAGTTTTCTCAACATAAATTCTGCTTTATTGAAAGTCTACCAATGAAATGTAGTGCAGACTTATCTCCAGGTTTTAAGTGGGACCCAATAATGAAAAATGCCACCAGCCACTTTTGTAATAATGGCATCTATAATGCCATCATGTATGCAAGCAATAAAACTCTACAGGGTAGGTTTTACACTGAACTTTTAATGTGAATGTTCCTAGCCACAAGGGTATAGAAAATTAACTCCTAGGAGTGATACTGTGATTCAAATTGCTCAGTACAGGGAAAAGAACATATGTGTGGCGGGGGGTGGGGTGGGGGAGGGACAACATTATTCCTTGGATTCAAGTAACCATCAAAATCCTTTTTATTTTACTTTAAAGTTTTTTAAAGCCTTTTTTTTTTTTTGCAAAGGGTATGTATGGGTGGTTAAAAACAGTTAAAGCACATCTGCACTACACATTTCATTTTCCATGAAGTTTAATATAGCTTGGTGTACTTATACTCACTGGGTAAGCTACCCAAATTAAAACAACAACAACAACAGTTTTTTTAAATTACCACACTTTTTATTGTCTTTGTGGAAACAGGAAACAGATCTAAATTCCCCTATAAATTTTAGATCTCATTTCTGGTTATACTCAAAGCCTTAAGTTCTTATTCTGAGCATATGTAATAATGATTTTCCTGAGCTGGATATATCCTGAGGAAAAGACACCAACAGGAGCAAATAAACTTCTAGGGAACAAAGGTCTTTTTTTCTTTTTTTTTTTTTCTTTTCCAGGTATCCTTGCTATAATGCACAGTAGAAAATACATTAAATCTTTCTACATCACATAATGTTCCTGTTAGCGGATCTAAGATTAATCACATGGTATTTATAAGCTAAAATTAATTCAAAAGGCAAGAATGTCGTAATGTCTTCATTCTTAACTTTTGTATTCTTCAAGAATATATTAATATAAAATCTGTGGCTAACCTGTTCTTATTCTTAGGACTATACTGGACATCTGTAGTGGATCATGTTACTTTTTCATTCTCATCCAATTTTAGTAAAATCAAATTGCTTTTTATTTTCATATTACTATCTACTATACAGTCTCCAGATTTAGAAAATAGGAGTATGATATATAAAAGACCACTAGATATACTTTTAAAACCCTTTCTCTGACTTTATGCATACATGTATATATGTAAAAGCAATGTTGATTTCCAATTCTGTTTTTCCATAGGAACGAAATTTTTATAGAAAGTATTCTTTTTAACTTAAATATTTTAACATAAATTATATACATGGATTTTTAGTATAATTCATTCTTATGTATGCCCTGTAATCATGTTGTCATGAAAGGGTAACTTTGCTTTCTTTACTGATGTGGTAGAGAGGAATAAGATTAGGAACTGAAACAAGCAAGAACAGACAGAGAGGTGGACAGAAAGAGTCCCTTGGACTCCAAATCAGAGCAATATATGCTAAGATAAATGAAAAACACTTAAACTGCAGAGGGATATAAACTACAAGATGTAAATCTATGTAATTGCACACTGATGGGATCCATTACACCTGGGCCTTTCACCTTGCCCTCTAAATTATACCACTAGTATCTTGTCATTACTTTTTCTTTAGACCTAAAAAAAAGAAATAATTCTATTGGACTATTTTCTGCACTGTTTACTGACATAAAAAATCCCTCTAAAGTCAATCATGGTCTGTATTCTACTTTATGGACTGAACATTTGGCAGAAAATAGTGTCTTTTCTGTCTTTTGAGATGAAATAGCACATGGCTTCTACAAGATAGTTTTTAACTCATTGGGGGGTCACTGAGAGTTACATGATGTTTACCCCTTCCTAAAATTCATTATAGATTGAATTAGTGTGATTAGGTAGATTTAGTGAGAAATTAAATCAAGAAATATTGTAGCATATTTGAATAAGTAAATACCAAATACATAGAGTGAGATATATATATATATATATGTGTGTATATATATATATATGGGTTTGGGAAGAGACATAATAGTCTATGGGGACCATTATGATAACAGAATTACATTATATATTACACATTATATGGATGTTGAAATGTATCGCTTGGGGAGGGGTGTCTCCCTTCATTAGCAATCATGTCTGTATATAAAACTTTGGAGGTTCTTGTTTGTTGTACCAAACTAGCATTTCATTTTATGAGTGACAATTGACTGATATTCTTGAATAAGTGTTATCTGGGTTTTTGAATTGTTGACTGATCAATTTGAAATGTATATTAGCAAAATTTTAGAATTAACTCAAATGTGAGAAAGTATACACAAAAAGTAATTTTTCTCTTCTAGCTATATGAATGTAAAATACTTGCAGATAGTGTATATATTGTGTAACATATGTATATTTGGTCATAAAGGCAGAGAATTGGAAACATTGTAAAATTAAGCACTTTAATTCCTATTAAATATTAAATACTTGTATCTTGTAAATAAATACATCTTTAAATGAATTCGAAAGACTTAGCTGTTATTTGAGCTAGGATTATATATGTTCAGTTCACAATGATTTTGGTTGTCAGAAATTTTGGTTGATTCAGAAAAAAGTTACTCCTTAACGTACTGATGTTCCTTTCCACCTCCAATCCCACCAAAACCTGTGTAAATATTTCAAGAATAATATTATTCAGCATTATTTCATAAGTAAAATATTTCCAGAGATAATCCTTTTTAGACATTTATTACCTTTTTCAGGCCTTGAAGAACTATTTATTGATACTTACAAGCAGTTGACATCAGCTGTTGCCCTTGGTCCATCGATATAACTTGTTTGCATCCACCTTACACCAGAATGGAAATTGTGGCGGAGAGAGCCAGTGTGGCCTATTTCAGAGCTTCTAAAACTTTAATATACATAGAAATCACCTGAAGATCTTACTCAAATGCAGATTCTGATTTAGCAAGGTCAGTGATGAGGCATTTGTTGTTAACAAGGTCTCTGGTGGTGTTGATGCTCCTCAAATCATTCTTGGAGTAGCAAGCTTATAGTGGAAGGGACTTAGTCATAGACAACTGGCTAGAAATCCCTGGCTCTGTCACTTACTGTTTGTCACTTCAGGCACGAACTCCTCCTTGAAAAGTTGTGGCCCTTAAATGAGATAATACTATAGTATATTGCCTGGCCCATAGGAGACATTCAGTAAGTGATTGTTAGTATTATTAATAGAGATCATTTAGTTAACAGGCAAGTTTGCTACCCTGACTATACATTAGAATCACCTGGGGAGTAGTTAAACCAAGCCATGCTCCGGCCTCACCCTCAGAAATTCTATTTGTGGGGGTTGGGCTGTGGGCATGAGTATTTTCAAAAATTCCCCAGGTGATCCTGATGGGAAACCTCACCTGAGAAACTGATTGCATATTTACTCAGTGCTTGGTCCTATGTTAAGCATTCTATAAACACATTATCCCACGTAAGCCTCACAACAGCACTCTTAACATTTTCATATAAGTAAGCAGGTTTAGAGAGGTTAAGTAATTTGTCACTCAGCTCTTGATGTCCTCTCTTCCTCCCTTAACCCTCCCTTACAGTTCAGTCATTACAGTCACTCCTTTGCATTCAGTTCACTCTCTAGCTTTGTCTTAACTTGTTTGGCAAAACCAAAACCTGGTTGACTCAACTCTGTCTTCTCCATGCCTACAGCCATGCAGCTGAACAAAATGAACAGCTATACTGATTGGTCTCATTTTAAATTCATTACTAGGTTACCATTTCACACCTCCTTTCTCCTCAAACCTCCAACACCTTCTCCCTCATCCTCCACCCAGCTGATGACCTTCTTCCCTACTTTACTCAGAAAATTAAATTGTCAGGGAACTTCCACAGCCTCCCACAACCGAATCTACCCATCTACCAACACAGGTTCCACGTAGTCTATCTTCCTGCCCATCCATGTTCTTGCTTAAATCTGGTCTCTACTTGAGTGCCATATCCTACCCCCACGCACCTTCTCAAGGATGCTGCTCTGGCCATTATCCTTTTCTTATACGATATCAGTTTTCCCTCTTAACTGAATATGCCCATCAGCAAACACATCTGTTATAATTTTTCCCAACCTAAATAAACCTCTTCACTTCACTTCCCCTGCCAGCTGCCATATTCCCCTCCCTTTTGGAGCAATAGTTGAATTTTCTATATCTGTTTCCAATTCCTCTCTTCCCATCCTTTCCTGAATGTACTCCAGTCAGGCCAAACAACCGATCTTTCCCCATAAAACCTACTCTATCCATAATTTTCTCCATCTCAGTTAATTGCAGCTCTGCTTTTCAAGTTGCTTAGGCCAAAAGCTTTCATCTTTGACTCCTCTTTTTCTGAGACTACACAGCCAGTACATCAGGAATTTATATTAGCTCACCTTCAAAATATACCTAGACTCAGATTCTCTTTCACCAGTTCCTCCGCTATCTACCATTCTGGCCTAAACCATCATCATCTCTTGCTACATTATTTCAGTAGCTTTCTAATTAGTCTCAAGTCTTCCAGTCCTCCCTCCACCCTTCCATTGTTAAATAGGCAGTCAGGGAGTCTGTTAAAACACAAATCAAATTATGTTGCTTCGGGCTTCTTTGGTGGCGCAGTGGTTGAGAGTCCGCCTGTCGATGCAGGGGACACGGCTTCGTGCCCCGGTCAGGAAGGATCCCGCATGCCGCGGAGCGGCTGGGCCCGTGAGCCATGGCCGCTGAGCCTGCGCGTCCGGAGCCTGTGCTCCGCAACGGGAGAGGCCACAACAGTGAGAGGCCCGCGTACCGCCAAAAAAAAAAAAAAAAAATTATGTTGCTTCTTTACCCCAGTCCCTCCAGGGGCTCCCATTTCACTCAGAATAAAAGCCAAAGTCCTTTGCCCTCACATGGTTCTATGTCTCTGCCACCCCCCACTCTCCTACCCCGTACCATACATTTTGCTTTTACTGAAGCAAGCCAAGTACACTTCAGCCTTACATCACAGACACTGTTCTTTCTTCCTGCAGTGCTCCTTCCCCAGATGTCTGCATAATGAACAGCTTTTGCAAGTTAAAGCCTGCTCGGATCTCACCACCACCTCATTTAACTGCCTCTGCTGCAACAGCACCGAATGCTGCCCTAATCTGATCTGTTTTTTTCCCATAGCTCTTAACATCTTGTTATGAATTAGATAATTAGCTGTTTATTTTTTATTGTCTGTCTACACCTGCTAGAACATAAGCTCCATAAAGGTAAGGATTTTTATGTTTTGACCACTGATGTCCCCAATCCGCAGTACTTGGGGTTGCTTGGCACATTGTAGGCACTCAGTAAATACTTACGTGGTGGGACTTCCCAGGCAGTCCAGTGGTTAAGACTCTGCTCTCCCACTGCAGGGGGCACGGGTTCCATCCCTGGTCGGGGAACTAAGATCCTGCATGCTGCACAAAAGCTAGGTTATATAAAATTACAAAAATGAACAGAACTGTTCTTCCAAAACATCAAATTGTTATGGGTATAGACCTTTGGAATAGAGGCTGAGAGGAAAAGAAATCAACATTTTATATAGCTAAATTGTTTTAATAACAAAGCTAGATTCCTGATAGCGTTTAAAACATAGTCAAGGACTTCAAAATACAATGGTGAAAATCTTAGTTAACCTTCACACGACGGATTCTTGCTTTTTAAATAATGTCTCAGCCCACTCTCACCACCACTACCACCACCACACCTGGTCTGTGAGGCAATTAGAGGCAGCTGGTTACTGTTCCAGAGGAGCCAGAGGTGATGAAAGATACATGTCCTGAGGAAGTGGGGCCGGCAGAGTGGACCTGACACAGGGTTTGGATAATGAGCTCCCAGTCTGGAGTCACTCTTTTATAGAGGAAATGATTCATGTGTTGTTTTGGTCTTGTATTTAAGTAAAAACAAATCCAGGTTGCTTTGTCTTAATAAAGGAAACTCTGCTTTTATACAGTGAGATTGGACCATGTAGTCCATTATGGTGTTTTCACAAGAAAAATTATTTTTAGATCACTTACATATATGGTTATCATACACTGAACAAAATTAAGTATATTGTTTCTATATAGAATCATGTCCAAAGTTGGAAGAAACATACCTCATCCTAAAGATCATCTTGTAGTTTTTCAATATCTTTTCCATCAGTTTGTGTATATGTATGTCTGTGTGTGTGCTTCGGGAGTGGAAGGCAGGCAGGCACAGACTACAGGGAGAATGAACCAAAGGGTCCAGGCTCACAGTTGTAAATACAGGAGAAGGAACGCTCAATAAAGAAAAAATATTTGCTAAAAAATCTTGATACTTTTCTGAGTATACCTTTTTTGTTGAGTTTTGACTTTTGAGCCATCTTAGTGTTTTATATACACAAACACACATAATAAAAAATGAAAAAATCTGAAATGGGGCTTCCCTGGTGGCGCAGTGGTTGACAGTCCGCCTGCCGATGCAGGGTACACGGGTTCGTGCCCCGGTCCGGGAAGATCCCACATGCCGCGGAACGGCTGGGCCCATGAGCCATGGCCGCTGAGCCTGCGTGTCCAGAGCCTGTGCTCCGCAACGGGAGAGGCCACAGCAGTGGGAGGCCCGCATACTGCAAAAAAAAAGAAAAAAGAAAAAAAAATCTGAAATGGAATATAAATACAAATGAACATATGTCAAATAATAGCAAATGAATAACATAACCACTCTGAAGGTAAAAATTAGAACTAATACACACTTTTGAACACAGTATGTTGACTATACATGCTTAAACTAAAGGCAAATCGAATTATAAATACTGAATTCTAGGTCATTGGTTTGTTTTACCCAGTGGTATGACTTAGCATTTCTAACATTACTTTTACTGAGTTCAACTGAGCAAATAATAGGTTGAGCATAATGGGAGCCAAATTTCTCAGTGTCAGAGAAGGCAGTTTCAATATGGAAAAGGAGGAACGTGATACTAAATTCTGTGTTGTTGGACTAGAATTACAGGTATCAGTATGAACACATGATTTTATAAAGTTAGCTAGCTAACTGGGTATAGATAGTTATAATACATTTATAGACATATGTGTATGTGTGTGTGTTTGTGTGTGTACACGAGCATATATTTCCTAGCTGACTGCTGTGAGGGTCTAGAAGCAATAACAACCCTGTAGCAATGAGCATACCTATGTTGGTTTCTAAATACCACTTCCACTAAAAGGAACCAGAACTCCCTGAAAAACTAGCTGATTCTAGAGCTAGAGCAGAGAAAACTGAATTTTCTCTGCTCTAGCTCTAGAATGCCAGAAAGTGAAAAAGTACCCAAAGAATGATGGGGACATGTCAAAAGACCCAGGAGTCAGCTTGAAGAGGCTCCAGCTGGCAAAATCTGGGACAGTTGAACATGTCATTGAAGTGGGAGGGGGAAGGAGAAGGAACGATGGTAATTGATTAAAATCCATTGAATAAAATAGGAACACATGGATTCAAACTGATAATGAATGAATGAATGAGGAAAAATGAA